TATCTATGTTTGAATAAATCTTGTTTAGTTTTGGACCATCAAGTCCGCTATTTATAATGGGTTTGTTCACTTTTTATTTTTGGATGAATATATTTTTGTATTATGTATCAAAAATAATATATTTTATATTAAATTGTTAATCTTTTTTAGTGAATAAAATATGCATATCATATATATTGTAATAATATAGATATATTTTATATTTTTTTAATATTTATATAGAATTGTACTATTAATATTAGGTGAACAAACTCATTGTTTTAGCCATTAGTGGGTATAGATCGGATAGGTCGGATTTCTTGACAAAGTCGGGTATGAATTATAATATGTAGTAGGGTTCATATATATTAAAAATTAAATGAATATTTTTTGCTTGAATAACTAAACGTAACAAAAATATATATTTACCAAGTAGACGGAAAGAGAATAATATAATGTTAAAAGAAAATGTTTATTTTGATAAATAAATGAGTATTTTTTATTGTTCATGTGATTAATGTCAATGAGTCTTTTATTAAATTCTAGCTAATATTGTGTGACCACTCAAGATTTAGGTGTATTTAATTAATGAATTCTCTAGTTTTAATTAATGAGTTCTTAATTTTATTATTTTGGTACAATAATGTGATAAAAATAAAATATCATATACACAATACATATAAAATATAATCGAAATTTAAAGGAAGAAAATTGGGAGATATTTAAATTACAAGTCTTTGTATATTTTTTAATTATTCAATTACTTAAATTTTCTTTAATATTATATTCAGAATAAGAAAAAAAAAAGTTATATAAAGTATCACTATTTTACTTTATAAATACAAAACAAACATGTTTGGAAATAAGTCTTGAAAATTATATAAAATATACAAAATATTCATTTTCTATTACATACAAATTACATACAAACTTAGGAACATTATCTTGAATTTTTTAAACTATGAGGATCATAATATATATATATATTTTTTTTTTACCATGCAAAGAATATTTTAATTACACACTCATGAGTATATATATATATATATAAAAGGTTTGTTGTATTTTCAAGTAGCGTTGTAAATATTATAAAAATATATATATAAATATATACGCACATCATCATAAAATATATATATATTATCCATTTAAAATAATAATAACAATTTACCTCATATTTTAATATTTTATATTGTCAATAAAAATTTTCATATTTACCATAAAAATAAATTTATTCAAATATTCTGGAAACCAAACCTTGGCCATGAAAAAAGTGTAAACACCAATTACATGAGAAATTTTATTTAATAAAGGCTCCATTTATTTTGAATTTTTTTATTATGTAACATTATGATATACTGTTAAAACATATTTTATTTTTTATATAAAATATTATGTTGAATAATGAATTTACAAAAAAAAAAACTCAACAAATACAAAGTACACCGTATAATTAATAGTGTATATTCGTATACTTATTTTCCTTTAGTTATTTCACATTAGTTATATATTGAAATATAATGTAATTGTATTATTCCAAAATATTATTGTTGGGATGGATCAATATTCAGAATGGGCGGTCCAAAGTGTTGGGCCAATCGATATGGGCCGGCTCAAAAAGGAGGCCCGACTCGGGACCGGCCCAATTGATACCAAATCAAAAAGACATTAGCATAGACGAGTTCTAAAATTTCTAGGCAATTCAATTTTCAGTCATTTACTCATTGTTTTAGCGGGGATTGATTTCCTTTTTTTTTATATACAAAATATTATATTAGTACTTATTCATATTATACTTCCATCACTCATGATAAATATCTTCATATAAACTTAACACGGATTATAAATAGTTATTTATTATAAATAGAAATTTTATATTTTGGAAAATAAAATAAAAAATAAAAAAAAATAGACATAAATTTGATGGAGGCTGCGAATCTTGTGCTGATCCGGCAATGTGTGTTATAAAATAGTATATGTTTGTGTTATAATATAATATAATATGTTGTATTATAAATATATTGAAAGATATGTTGATCATTTGTATAACATATGCTAATCCGGTCAAATTAGTATTATGTTGACATGACCGGACTGAATCAACAATTGATCGACGCCATTTGATAGATGAAAAAAAATATATAAAAACAACTATTCTAATTCAAAATGTTATTATTCAAAACTCCAAAAACTTTAGTCTAGACCCGCAATCAAACACATCCTTAGCGATCATGTAAATGACTTTGTTTGCTTTGTAATTTACTTTTGTATTGTAGTTTGAATCAATGTTACATGAAAATGAAAAGTGTTTAGGTTTCATAGTACCAACCATTCAAACTTTCGACACTTTTATATTTTGTTTGTTACACATAGTTCCTCTAATGTAACTTGATTTGTCGGACTTAATTTGTATGCTATTAAATTTGGTGAAGGTTTACCTAAAGTGCACTATTACGAATTCTCATATCAGCAAATATATATATATATTTAAATGAGTCAACCTATATAAAAAGTGAAACATTAGATATGGACTTAAGTATTAAAATTTCCTTATTTGCTAAAGCATATGCAAAAGATATAGAACCAAATAACTTTTGCAAGAAAGAAAATAAAATTTGAATGAAATTAAAATTGTACATAAGTAATGTGTAGCCATTCAAGATTCAAATCATAATTATATATGTATTGAATTCAATCACAATCATAATGTCATACAAATCCAATACAAAAATGAATTTATTATACATACTTCTATCATTTTTATTTATACCTTATTCAGTTAATCAACCTCGAAAATATATGATCATATCCATATATCTAACAACCTTGAGCACGAAGTTGATCACTATTCATTACAATCACTATACTTTATTGTCGAAAATCATCATATTTTCGTTCTAACCCACCCGTTGATCGTCGAATTATCCACCAAAACTAATGGGCCCACTTTAAAAATCGGCCCAGTGGGCCGTAAAGTAGAGACGAGTATTTCCTTCTTGCTAGCCGAAAAAAGCACGGGGCAACCCGTCGACAGCTTAACCGGCAACTTAACTACGACAAAGCATTTCGACGTATACTGGCCCGGGAGCAGTACTTTTTTTCCGACGGCTGTAATAATGAAATTTCCGGACTCATCCGTTGTGTTTGCTCCGGCTATAAGAGAACGGTCGCAAGCGAGGGTGACAGGAACCCCGCTGACCGGAGAAGGGCTGCCGCCACAATTTCCGGTGACGGAGCAGCAGAGCCGGCCATGCGCCCTCACGCCGACCGTGTTCACCGGAAATGTTTTTCCGGCGGCCACGTGCAATGCACGTGGATTGGGGATTAGTGTAACTAGGAATAAAGCAATGAAGAAAATTGGAGGTGTATAGGGTTGATGATAGTTAGCCATTTTGGTAATGATTTTGGTGTCTAATCACTTAATTTTGGTACAATTTATAGATGGGTTTTTTTTGGGTGGGGTGGCGTGGGTAGGGGGTAGGGTAGGGTAGGTATGTTATTTGATCCCTAGGATGTGGGGATGTGCATGTGATTAATTTAATGAAGGTTTATGAATTAATATTGTGAGACCATCCTAAGTAACTATAATTTATATTCCAAATTAAGTGATATAAAGCTAACGTGGAACTAGAATGGCCATGGAGTGTATTTCTCTATAATTTGGAAATTGTTTTATTATTATATAATTTACTTTTTCGTAACACAATTATTTAATAATATTAATATAATGGTGTAGGCTTGTAGCTGGAATTTTTGTGCTCCGGATGGTCCACAACTACAAGTTTGGCCAGGTGGAAGACTAGAAAATTGAATGTTTGGGTATCAATTTAATTAATATTTAATTTACAATATAGTATATATATTATTAAAAAAATAAGTATGTATTTAAATATTTAAAAAATTATATTTGAATAAAACATGCATAATATTTTCCCGTAGCAACAGCAGCCATGGCGGCGGTAGAACCTCTTCCTCTTTCTCCGACGCTTGTCAGCGGCAAATATGGCTTCTCCTTTAGCTCCGGGCAGGTTGCCAAAAAAGATTTTAAATATATTTTTTTAAAAAATATTAATAATTACTTTGAAATTTTTGGAAAAAAAAAAGAAAAAATTGATCTTGAAAATTCCGAGACAATTATCAATGTTCATAGGTGCCTATACTTCGAATTTGGTTTCAAAAATTCTAAGACTATTTTAAATAGCTTCCAAATTTTCGAGACTCTTAAAAAAATAATGAGTTTTACCTCTCGGACACTAATTCGAAACAAATTTCGAGGCTCTAAAAAACAATCTGGAATTTATATTAAATATCGAGGCTATTTTTTGAAGTTATTTTTCTTTTTTTTTATAGTAGTGATACATATTTGGAAATAAAATAAAATGAAAGCACAGTGACAAGTGCAACCTAATTAGTAATCAAACACATACGACGAATAAACGATACTCCCTAAAGTAACTTATTTTTTTATTATTATTTATGTTTTTTTAGTTAATATTCAAATAATATTTCTTTAGTCTCATTATGTTGTTTTTATTTTTGAAAGAAGATTATATATTTTAATCAAAATTTAATTTATTTATTTTTATTAAGCTAATTAATCATTTCTCTTAAATTCTTGTATTACAATAATTCTGACGTAATATCGGGAAGGAGGGAATAATATATTGGCTAGTGATTTTCTTCCATAGTTCTTGGATCCGAAACCTCATGTGGATCCGGGTCCCATATCCAATCCCAAATCCATTTTCGATCCAAAACATATTTATAATCCGTGCAAGGGTTCTGAACCCTGAACCCGAGACCAGACCCAAACCAAATTAATTCCGTAAACAATTAAAGGAATTGTTTTAAAAAGTTGGATCCCACCCAATCTAGAACTTTAGAACCCGAATCGGATCCAATCGGTCGACAGGCTTGCAAAGTCATTCAAATCCTACTGACGTCTTCTCAATCTAGTTATAACTCGAGAATTTAGTTACCAAATTTAATCTAAACTAGAGGAGGATAATGCACGAGAGAGATGTAGTAATAGTAGAGTATATCATATCAATCATACTGTCTGTTCGAAGTTCAGTATCTTCCCACGGACTAATACAAATCTATCATCATCCATAAGGATTGATTGATTAATAATTGATTGTTTCTTCATTTCTACCATTGTCGTCGTCCCTCCTGCCCTGCCTGATTAAGAACAAGAAGAAGAAGATGAAATTTAACAGAAAACAGGAACAGACTGTAGAAGAAGATCAAGAAGAAGCTCGACGATCGTCGTCGTCATCATTATCCATTTTCATAGTCTCTTCAGGCTTTTCTTCCTCGCATCCATCTTCTTTTTGCTCAGCCCCGCTGGTGCCGCTACTACTGCTTCCTTTTTCAGCAGAGGAGGGTGAGCCGTCGATCCGCCGACTCCTGTTTCAGCCGACGGAAGCGCTGCAGCATAGCCACCTTGACCGTTTTCAGGTTTGGGTGCTAATGGAGGTTGGGGTGCAGCGCCAGAGAGATTCTGATTATTGTTATTTTTCTGGTCTGCTGCAGCACACTTTGATGAGGCGTTCGTCGACGACTGGTCCACGTTCAGGGCTGCCGTGGACTCTGAAATAGAGTTCGTCTTCAATTTGGGCTTCGGTTTCAGCGCATGTATGCCGGTGTATAGCCTGGAGATGAAGACCCTGACGATGAGGATGATATTTGCATAGAGACGGAAATAATTTTGTTAATCGGTTGCTTACCTTGCATGTCGGGCATATTCTTCGTAGTTTTCTAGCAGCATCTTTCCGGCTTGCTCGTTTAGAGCAGATTCTGGGAATGGTTCGATCAATAAGCATCTGATCACCTGTTTTAGGATCGGATTGGATTGGATTGAATTGAATTAAACAACGTAATAATGTTAAGTGTTGATCCAAATGAAATATACATATATATATATATAGATTTTGGTAATGTGATCGATCAATACTTACAATTAAGACATGCCTTAAGCCAAGGGTCGGGTTCCAATCTTTCTTCAATGCATTCACACAGATCTCGCCGTTCGTTGCAATGTTTGGATGAAAGATCTTCGTCAGAAAATAGCCTGCTCCAACATTAACAAGATCGTCTTTTAATTTTGTTTAATAGTAATCGACAACCATGTCCGTATCCATATCAAGAACAGATTGTAATAACTAACACTAACCTTTCGGAGGAGATTGTGGGAAATCATGAGACAATATCAACTTCATGCGAAAAACACCATTTTCATATGGCGTCCCAGCTGCATCAAGTTCGAGCTTGGACATATAATTAATAAATCACAAAAAAGACCATGCCGGCAACAAACTTGAACCTAGAGAGGATGAAAAGAAAAGAGTACCTGGGCCCTCGATGTCAGCGAATATAACCGAAAAGTTATCATCATTCACGCCTACTTTAATGCCTTCCGGAGGGGTTTCATCAAGATTCTTTAGTTCCTTCGCCAGTTGCTTTATCACATTTGGGGGAAGATTCTCGTTGGTCGCCTAAACCAATCAAGACATAAAATAGTTTGAATCAATCAACAAAAAAAGCCAGAGTCGGGTGGTCGTTTGGCATATAAAACATACAAATCACAAATCACACTTTTCCAACTTCCCAACATCAATGCATATCCAGTTAATTTTTTCATCAAAATCAATCAACAAAAAATAGCCAGAGTCCCCTAGTCGAGTGGTCGTTTGGCATATAAAACATACGAATCAAATCACACTTTTTTTCCAACTTCCTAACATCAATATATCTCCAGTTATTTCCATCCAATGAAACAAGCAACAATGATTTAGATATTCAAATCCATTCTATGCCGAGTTCATCACTCATACTATACATTCCTTACCGGTGTAAAAGGAAATGAGTTGAGAAAAGAAACTTACCATAGAGCACTCTATTCAATCAGAAGCGAATGTCAAACTTTCAAATTGTGTAATAACAGTCGTTATTTTAAGTTCTTGAATGGCGAAGACGAACAGAACCTGCAAAAAAAGAAGATTTGTGCTTCAAAATAAACAGGGGCGCACAATATCTTTGTCTGTTAAAATCGAAATTAAAAACTCAATTAAAAAGCATCAAATCGAGAGGTTCCAATTGCCACGCTTAGTTTTCATTTAGCTCGCTTCGAAATAAAACTTTTGACTATAATCTGATTTTACCTCTTTAGCATAAGTTAATATAAAACAATAGAAAGATTGACACACTTTGACATCATAGAAAAACCCTAACTCAACAGCACTTCCGAATTCACATACACCGCAGGCAAAGATTCAATTGGTACACTCAAGAAGGCTTGAAATTGCATCATCGCCAATTGAATGAAATTCGTCATTGCCCCAAATTTAGATCGACTACTGTTTTTCCAGTTATTTTCTCCATAGAGTGATATAGCACAAATTTACAGAACAGACATGGCGAAATCTTTAGGAGAAAAAAAAGAAAGAGTAGAACCATGAAATTCGCGCACGTTAACCCAACCAGAGAGAAAAGAACTTTGCAATAAGAAGCAACTAAAAGCTACATTTTCGGATCGGACTCAGATAGAGTAAAGTATAAGCTCTGTGAACCGCACGAGAAGCCATCTCATTATCGAATCAGAAATCACAGCTTATGATGCAAAAATCACTTCAAGAAACGACACGAGAAGCAGCAGCAAGAAAGAAATTCAAAGAAATTAGAAAATCACAAAACCCCCTTCGCGTAAATTCCCAGAAACCCTAAATCGCTCCAATTTCAAAATTAAAAAACCAAGAAGTTCAAATCCAAACGAAATGAGGAAACAATCAAACATACCGAATCCAGATGAGGATACAAAATCATACCTGGCAACGAATAGAGAGAGAGAGGGAGAGAACGGGTGTGCCACGAAATCTGAGTAGAGAATAAAAATGGGGAAACGAGGCGATCCCCTTTGCTCTTCGCTGTCGCTCTCTTCTCTATTATTGTCAGACTTCGTAATCGCAAGAAATAGATTTCGGATAGCGATCTCCCCCCTTGTGTATAATTGAGGAATTGATTTTCGCGTGCGCCTTAGAGAGAGAGAGAGAGAGAGAGAGAGAAGATGAACCTAGAGAGAGAAAGAGAGAGACGCTGTATGTAATGTCTATGCAGAGAGACAACAGTAAACATGGGGGAATTTATATTGGCACGCCAAGAATTGCTACCGCCACACCTCACATTGTACCGTTACATTACAGCTATAAGCCTTTTTCAAATTTTGTATTTGAAAATTGAAAAATAAAAAAAAATAAAAAAAACTTTCTTTTTTTATTTGTGCTTTTTCTATAAATTTTCGGTGGAAGACAAATTAATAATTTTTCTATATTTGTAGCTCGAAATAATCAAATGGATTTAAAAGAAAATAAACCTATTATTAGGAATAAATTAATTACTATATTGAATATGTGGTTGAAAGTTCTTTTTTCAATTTTTTTCTATTTATTATTAAATACTTATTGTATTTCTAAATAAAAACTAATGTTTTTACATAATTCAAATTAATGCTTCATTTTAAATGAATTTTAAATGATAATCAAATAAACTTGTATACACTTTAATATAAATATGTAAAAAAAAAAAAAAAAACTGAATATAAAATTTAGATAATGCATATAATTATTTATAAAATAAGAATCCCATGTGTTTTTTTAACAACACATACTTACATTTGCATATAAACATATTTATATTATTATATTCCCTCCTTCCCGGAACAAATGTGGCATTTGTTTTTTCACATAGATTTTTTAAATATTAGTATTATAATGAATTATAGTGAAAATAACAAAAATACCCTTAATAATATAGTGTAAGTTGGAAAATGTATTTATTATGGTATGTAAGTATTACAATTATTAAATTAAAAAATAATAATCTTGTTTTAGAGAAAATAACAACCTTTCGACGGATGACGTATATGTATTTTACATATTACCACTAAATTTAAAATAAAAGTATTATATGGGAATGGACAATTTTGAAAAGGTGTATTTGGCATAGCGAAATTTCTATTTAATAACAGGGTGGCAATTTTAATTATTAACAATAATATAATAATTATTTTTTGAGTTGTATTTCTTATTTTTTATAATAATTGAATTAATGTGGGGAACGACGTGTTGGCAGATAATTTTTTTTTTTTTTTATTCTTTTTATATTTAAAAAAACAAAACACAACGAATAGTAAGTATTACATTGATATAATTTTAATTATCATTTCTAGCAACAAGATAAAATACTTCCACTATTTTCTTAACGAAGTTTTAGAAATATTAGTATTATATTGAAATTTACGAAGTTTTAGAAATATTAGTATTATATTGAAATTTAGTAGAAATAAAATAGAAATTATTAAAATAACCTAATTAATTTTGTATGATATAAAGGTAATAATATTTGTGTAATATATTCTTTACGAAGTTTTAGAAATATTAGTATTATATTGAGATTTAGTAGAAATAAAATAGAAATTATTAAAATAACCTAATTAATTTTGTATGATATAAAGGTAATGATATTTGTGTAATATATTGTAAGTTGTAAGGATATTTATAATGTTAAGTAGATAATACAATTAAATTGATACTTTGTTATAGGACATACTAAAATGAAAAAAAATAAATATTTTGTTATGGGAACCGACTAAAATGAAAAAAAAATAAATATTTTGTTATGAGACAGACTAAAATAAAAAAATTGATATTTTATTATGGGACGGAGAGAATATAAATTTACTATAAATATGAAATAGAAAAAATACCAAGAATATATTAATATAATTACAAATCGTTGGATTTGTTCTTTTTATACTCTAATTTATTTCAATTTCTTATTGTACAATTTTATTCTTTATTATTAAAATATTTATGTATTAAAAATATTAATTTAAAATAAAATTCAAATTAAAGTGAATTGTGTTTGTTTGAGGGTTTGGATTTTAAGTTGGGATTTGAATAGTAAAAATTTTGAATTTGAATAGTTGTATGATGTGATATAAATAGGTGTTGATGTGATATTTTGAATGTAAAATTGATTTTTAGTATAATATAAAAAATGAAAAATATGTGTTTGCTTTAATATTTTTGGGAGAAAAAATGGGATGAACGGTGGAAATCTAATCCAATCCCCCAAACAAACACACTTATGATTTAAATTTAACTCAAATATTTTTATATTAAGTAAATTAAGTGTAATTATTCTATTTGTTATTACTAAAAATAATTATTTTACGTATTGCCTACTAATGGTTATTTGGTATTAATATATTTACTATACAATTCATATAAAACTATATAATTTATTCTCGTGAAAATAGTATTCAAATCAATATTTAAATATAATTAATTTGTGCTATTGTTTATATTTTGTGTTAAAAAAGTATATCCTAAGTATTAATAATTTGAGTGTTGAAAAATATATGTATATAATATAATTTTAAAAAAAAAAAAAAACAATAAATAGAAAACAACAAGAACAACCAAATAAGGCAGAATAATTGAGGGGCCCACCCTCCCACCCACCAATGTTTTTATTAAACATTTATGTGTGTTTGGATGTGTTTAAAACTGATTAAATGCTTTACCGTGTTTTTAATTTTAAATGTTTTAAATGGCGTCATAGTTTTTTTTTTTTTTTTTCCTAATAAAAATAGAATTTTAAATATAATATTTTTTTTATTAAAATTTATTGTAAATTGTGCGGTTTTAAAATGCAATAAAAGCATAATTATATTGAATTTATTACTATTATATTATAATATTTTATTTTTATTCAAACATTATTATTTTACTTATAAAGGAATAAAAAAACATATATACACACAGAAGTAAGCAAACCCCACACTTTCTCCTTAGGTTTGGGTGTTTTGGAATTTGGAGGGCATTTCTTCGATGTTTGAGAACATTTTGTTTAAATTAAATTTAAATTTAAATAGTGAAAAATTGAATTTAATATAACTATATATTAAATTAAATTTATAAAATTAATTCTAGTATATAATTTGAACATTAATTTATATCAATCATAAATAAATATTTATATTTTTTTATTTATTTGTATTATATATAGCCATGCAAACTAATTATTGTGACATCTTTTTTTATTATTTCATCTTACAAATGTAATAAGAATATTTTTGTTAGACAAATATAGATACTTTACATATTTACAAAAAATAAATAATTAAATACAATTTTTTTTTTTATATTATCAATATATTTCTTCACACATAATATAAAAGGTATATTAAACAAAAAAAAAATACTAAAAAAACACATTAATTATCACTTGTTTTTTTTTTTTTTTTTATATATAGTATATTTTACAAAACATTCATTCTTTCTTCTCCCTCGTTTCGCTCGTTGCCTTCTCAGGCTTTCTTCATTACCATTTCATATTTTATTTTCGATTGATTTTTTCCTGGTAAATCAATTTGAACATTTTTGTTAAGAAGAGAATCCCTTGGCCGTGGAAGGTTACTCTCACTTCTACGGCACCATGAATGACGATGAGATAGATCGAGACACCCCAAAAAATCAATGAGAATGTTTAACCGCTTTCGGCTTTGATTTTTTCAAATTTTTAAAAAGACAAATGTACGATTATTCTATTTGGGAGGTTCACTATTTATTTTAGTTTATTTCTCAGTCGATCGGGATTGTGGTAGTTGATTTCCATCACATTTTATGAATCTAACTTTTGTAATCTTCTATTGTAATTTTTTTTTGGAAAATAATGCTAAAATTGTTGTTAAGAGAAGACACTCTGACAATGAGATTTCAAATTGATCTGATATTGTCATATTGTGATAAAGATGATGTATCTTTGTAGTCAAACTGAAATTTTAGATTAATCTGAATGGTACAACATTTTCTTTTCCTATCATGAATATTGTCGATGTTGTTGCTGGTCTTGAGTTCTCTCCTATTTTGATTTAGTTTGCTCCAAAGTGATAGTTGTGCGGTTGATCTCCAAATATGTATTCCCCGGATAATAATTAATCGCCCAATATATGAGAGATTGCAAAACTTCATATAAAAATAATCTAAAATATCAGTAAAAATTAGATTAGGTGTAACCATAAATTCCACCAATAAATCATAGAGGACACACAAATAATTGGGATTTATTTAATTTACCACCTAAAAAACTAAATTGTTATTATTATTATTATTATTATTATTAACCACTAATTTGTTACTTATTTATTGGTGTGGTTATCATAATTGAGTGATTATATATCATATCATTTGTATTAGTTTGAAAATTAAATAAATAAAGAGGTTTGGCTGAAGGAATCTTCTAGAGTAATTGGCGTAGGTAAGATGGACGTTGGAGCTTCCTGTCTCCCAACTAGCCGTTATTCGCTGCCACGTCAGATTTATTTATTTATATGTGTATACTTGTTCATGCTTCAATTTGTTATGTAGTAGTAAGATTGAGTTCAGGTTGTAAGGATGGCCTGAAATTGTAAGTTCAAATTTACATGCTTTTAAATTTTGTTTGTTATTATTTTTTTTAATGTGATTTGTTTTATTAAAAAAAAAAGTATATATATATATTATATACTTCCTTGATTTTTAAAATATTCTTTTATTTATTTATTTATTTAGTATAAACTATATTATTTTTTCTATTTTTTTTTAGTATAAAAAACAAAAAATATATATTATATTATAACTCGTGCCAAAAAAATATAAACGCATTTTTGTAAGACAAAAAGAGTATTAAGAATCGAGTCAACTAAAAAATTAATTGAAAAAAAAATAATCTCTTAATACGAACAAATTTTAATAAAAAAATATATACTCACTTTGTCTCCAACATTGTGCTATTATTTTTAATTTATAACATCTCAATACCTTCACTATTTCTAAAAAAGAAAAAAAAAATCATTTACATATAATTAATAGTAAAATTTAAATAATAAAACGAAGATAAAATAGTAAAATTATATTAGTGGAGCAATGTAGTAGTATCTCAATTATGCTAATTTTATTTGAACACAAAAACTAAAAAAAAATAATTTAACATTAAAATAAGATAAATAAAAATAAATTGAAGTATTGTAAAAAAATATTAAGAAAATTTTAAAATAAACAATAATAAAATTATTATTATATTTTAAAATATGGATAATAAAATTATGAATGAATTTATCTGAAAAAAAAAATAATAATTGACATAATTATCTCAAGGCACAAAATGGTGTGTTACATATATTTTAAAATCTCATTTGGGCTTTGGAATAGGACGAAATTTTGGGCTTATTAGGCCCAATTGAAAATTGAGCCCAAAAGAATTGTTATTATTTTATATATATTTATATATCTTTTTCTTTTAATAAATTAAAATAAAATTGTGGTGACGAGGCACGGAGCTGAAACAGGAAGTTTGTGCTTTTCAGCGGACAGAGATGCGTGGAGAAAGAATAGCTGTAATGTGTGGAGAGAGAAATCTGACGAGGAGGAATCACTGAAGAGTTGCTGGTTACCGTCGTCGAGGATCTAGGAGTGGAGTTGAATTTCGGTTTCCGAGAATTTGTTTGAGTCCTATGGAAGGTAAAGTGGAATTTTATATTTGTTTGTTTTTGGACGTTGACGAGCCCTAAATCTGCTATTTGGATTCGTTTGGCTTGAATTTCGCTGGAATTGCTGGATTTTAGTTGTTTCTGTGGTCATTTTGGTGGAATTTTGACGCGAGATGATTATTGTGTCTAAACTGCGGGGAATGACAGCATAAGGCGTGCGTTTTTTCGTGATTTTAGCGATCGGAAAAATTTGTTTGATGTTTGTGATCTCTTTGATTCGTTTTAATTTGTTGTTTGATCTTTGAGTGCATGTGGATTTTGAATTGAATGATTTGATGAGGTGCTTGTTTTACGCTGTTTAAGCGCTTTCCTTGATTTTCTGTGGCTTTTTTCTGAATGTTGGCGCTGGTGTTGATGTATTGTTTTCTTAGAATTATCAGTCGAAGATGGTGAAATTTGTTGAATTTCTAACTACTAACTCTAAACTGATCGAAATTGCTTGGCACTGTTTGATTGTTTATCTTTTGTGCAAGTAATTTGTTACGGTTGCGTTTGGATATGTTTTTGGAGGTATTTTGGAAATTTTGGTTACTTCGTAAATAGAAAAAAATTGAATAGAAAATAAGTTGAGGGTATATAGGTGTTGGATGTCATTATTTGAGTAGAGAATTTTGATTAATACATTTATGAAAAATAAAGATTGATTATTTTTATATAAAAAAAAATATATATTTTCTTTAAGTAAACAATTGATGAATACTTTCATGTTTTGGAATGTTTTTCAGTATTTTTTTATATGAAAAATTTAAAAAGGAATTATCTATTAAACTTAATATTTTAAATAATTTTTTTTTTTTTTGAATATGTTCTTTCTTAGCTCTAACAATATATTGCATAATACAATAACAACAGCTAACAAACAAAAAATACACCCCTATGTTTTCTTTAGTTGTTTTGTTTTTTTAATTTTTATTTTTATATTTGCTTGGAGTATTTTGAGATAGAAAATAATGGTTTGATATAATATATATATATATTTTAAAAAAAATGGGGTCTTTTAAGGGAAAATGAAACATTGAATAATAAAAGAAATAGGCTCAGGACCTGCTTGTTTGGATTCTAAAGTATTTTATATTTGACACTTCTTAATGAAAAATAAACTTTCGATGATATGATTTAATAAAAAATATGCATGGATATAATAATTTGACTAAAAGTATACTCTCCTATATGTGATGTTTCAAATGCAATAGTAAGTATTGGATGCTATTTTCTTAAAGAAAAAAAAAATTGTTGTCAGAATTAAAGTGTAAATATAATTGACAATACAAATAAACAGTTATATTGACATGGATTCAGAGGCATATAAAATCCACTATATTCATGTGGAACCTGCGGTCAACTTTGTTGTCCTGTGGTGTTTTTTTCCGTTACTCAGATTCATAATTTGTGAAATTTTGTTTGGTTGTGGTTTGAAATTGATTTAAAATAGAGTATTGATTTGAGTTTTTGTTTAAATATTATTGTTTTGTGAGATGGAATAGTATATTTATAATAAACTGGTATGTTGGTTTGAAATCACAAAAGAACCCCAAGTCTTACGTTTCTTGTTGAAGTTGGATCTCAATACCTAATGGTTCGATAGGATTCTCATCATTGTAAATGCATACAGCCGAGTCATTATTTATTTCTTGATAAATGTCTGCATACATTGGTTTTGATATATCAAACTTGGACCGTCGTCATTGTAATTGCTTACAACAGAGTCATTTTTCACTATAACATAAATACACAAACAATTGGTGTTGCCATTAAACTTATTACTCGAGCCCGAGCATGTATTTCCCCAATGAGCATATGTATGTTTTGAGCTACCGTACTTTATAATTAAACTTATGACTCAGCCCGGGCGTGTAAATGAGCAGATGTACATCTTGAGCTACTGTAGTTTATAATTAACTTATTATCGAGCCCGAGCATGTATTTCATCAATGAGCATATGTATATTTTGAGCTACTGTAGTTTATAATTAAACTTATTACTCGAGCCCGAGCATGTATTTCTCCGACGAATATGTATGTCTTGATGTACTGTAGTTTATGACTTACCGTTCGTTATGCTTCTACTTCTTGCATCTATCTTGTCGCCGGTTAGTGAGTTTGTGTTTTTAACGTAACTTGATTTCACATAAGAAGCTCCGCTCCCTATTTTAACTGATGAAAGTGTAGAATCTCATTGTTTGTAGGTACATCCCCAGATAGAGATTCTATTGGATCTGCAGCTAGAAAGTCGAGTTTCTCGTCTGGAAGAAAAGTTCGTCGGAGAAAGGAGTTTCTTCGTAAATTCGTGGACAGTAATAGTCTGGAAGCAAATCTCACTACATGGTTTAAGGACATAGTCGAACATAATGTGTCACCCGTCTTCGATGTTCCTTTCGAGTTGGTGGATCTTCAAAAATTCGATTACGCTCTGGAAGGGGTTCGATTTCAACAACTTCTTCGAATGCCTGATGCTGTCCATGCCTCAACCCCCGGGTTTTTCGAAGCAGCCGCTTATCTTGCTCTCGAGGATTTCCTGCACGCCACCGCGAGCAGCCTGTGGGGAGCTTTCTGGGGACACGAGAATGATCCGATGCCTTTCTATGTTTCGTCCTTATCCGACGGGAACTTGCGATTTTGCCAAGCTGAAAAAGAGATCGCCAAAGGTAAAGTAACAGGTTTTTATGCATCGGCAATAATGCGAAAGAATCCGAGGCATCCGCAAGGGAAATGGGATGATATCGTCGAACTAGCATTGCTGAGGCCCGACGTTCAAATTCTTGCCTCGATCGAAGACAATTCCGAAGCTCTGTTCTCGATTCTGGGCGAAGCTTTATTTTTCGCGCTCCGCGTATTGCTTGCGAGAAGTATCGGCAGATCTAATGTTCCTCTGAGTTTGACGTCTGTTTTTGTACTTCTACTCGACTCTCAGCATGGCAGTGTTGTTAAGGTCGAGGGCGATCTAAATAATCTGGAATTCGACGTAAACAATGTCTACGGATCTGCTGCGGCGTGGTTCAAAAACCATTCCAGAATCGCGATTTCCCCTGTTGATAGGATTTGGAATAAGCTCGGAAACGCAAACTGGGGAGATATCGGCGCTTTACAGGTACTCTACTCTACATTTCATTCAATTGCGAATTACGCCGGATCACCTAAACACACTGTGGAAGATTTGGCCACCGAGCACAGTTCTCGACTTCAAAGAAGAAGAAGTAAAAGACAGTTAGGCGATACTCGGGTGAATGGCAACGGTTCGTCCCGAATTCAGCATTACACTGCTTCTCCTGAAATTGTCGAAGTTGAGGAGGAATCCATCGAAGTAGCAACCGAGAATTCGACGAAACTGGAAATCGGGACTATTTTACAGCTGGAAGATTCCCGATCGGAGAATGGATACCGGATAGATGATATTCGGTACGACGGGGATTTTTCAATTTATGTAACGTCTCCGATCGACAAACCGGAGAAGTCCTTTTTCCTGTACATCGGTTCGGAGTATCAAGTTCAACGGCAAACGAAAGTACTAACGGTTATGACAGAGAAAGGTTTGTCGAGCAAGTACCTTCCCCGACTCTATGAATCGAGTCGAGCGGTCCATTCAGGTCGATGCCGGAAATTGTCGTCGAGCTCATCTGGTAAGTGTGGTCATCGATTGTGCGGGATTCCGGTGGTGCTGACTACTCCGGTGGGAAGGACTGTCGGCGAAATGGTGAGCGCCGGCGAGTTTGGCGCAGACGAGGCTATCAGATGCTGTCACGATTGTCTGTCGGCTCTCTCTGCTAGCTCCTCAGCCGGAATACGGCACGGTGACATCCGGCCGGAAAATGTCATCTGTGTAAAATCCGGCGGGAGGCCGTACTATTCACTCATCGGCTGGGGTTACGCCATTTTAGAGGAGAGAGACCATCCGGCGACGAACCTTCATTTCTCTTCGACTTCGGCTCTTCAGGACGGGAAGTTATGCTCGGCTTCCGATGCGGAGAGTCTCGTGTATATGCTGTATTTTGCCTCCGGTGGAGATTCCGCCGTTTTGGACTCAGTCGAGGGCGCGCTGCAATGGCGAGAAACCTCGTGGTCGAGGAGATTGATTCAACAGAAGCTCGGCGAAATCTCCGCCGTCCTCAAAGCATTTGCGGATTACGTCGATAGCCTATGCGGCACGCCGTATCCCGTTAACTACGACATTTGGCTGAGGAGATTGAGAAGACATATTAGCGAAGACGACAGCGGTAAGGAGATCGACACATCTACATAAACCTGAATACAGAAGAAACTCGACAGCTCGGCTGTTGTAAATATAGACTGTTCCCGACATCATGAGTGCGACAAATGCAAGGGCTGGCTAGGTCGCGAGAAAATCTTGCGACGATGGAATCCTAAAGGGAAATTGAGCTTGATTCGACACTTATTTAAGATGTTGTGTTTGTTATTTCCTCTGAAGTTTCAGTCGGGCGAAGAAGAAGAGACTCCATTTTTGGAACTAAAGCAAATAACAGGTGAAGCTATTCGATATGACGATACTCGCCGTAGATGAAAAGGTGTTAGTCGATCGAAAGTGTTACTATGTTAATTCACGTCCGTTTCTTCGAGGGCTGCTTTCGCTGCCGTCTTGGCGTCCTTTAATAGATTGTCGGGGACCTGGAAACTCGGAAAAAGCGTCAATCATCGACTCAGAAATGTCGTTGAAATGCAACGAGCATTGAAATATTTCCAAAAGCGTCGAAGATATTAGCCCGGCGAGTGTAGATAGGGTCGAGACAATAAACTCGTTTATATTTCTTACCTTCCAACTCGAAGGCCTTGTCTTTTGCTTTGTCGTCGACTCCAACCCGGCATGCCTTTTTCCGGGTTTCATTTATTATAGTATGTTCTAGACAATGAGAGAAGTTACATCTTGGCCGCCTCGACTACCCCTTTCCGGCTCGTCAAAGCTTCAACTTTTCAATCTCTCTATGTTCTAGAGTGTCATATGCATATACCGCAAATAGGGACGGTAGGACTCGAACTCGAGACCTAGTCTAGATTCTGATATCATGTCGGATGCAGAATGACAGTCTTACCTAGAAGTTGACAGTTTTATCTAAAAGTTCGAACGTTTAAGATGCAATCATTAATTATATATTCATAAACGGGAGTCGCCAAGACTGAGAATGAGTTTTTATTTGAAATAATTTAAATAATATTTTGATATGATAGTTTAACACATAATATATTGATCATTATGAAAAGAAACATAACAAATAGAAACGGCAACATACTAGTTAGATGCACACAAACCAAATAAAACTACATCTAATTAATCATGAATGAAATTAAGAAGGCATATATATATATAAATAGATTGATACACATTACACACACATCAAGCCATGGCTATAATATGGCTATGGCTAATGCTCGACGTAGTTGGCATGGAGAAGCACATCCCTGACCTGCGTCGAGATGTCCTCGACGGCGCCGATGCCGTGCGGGATGAACACAGCCGAAGACTTCGACTGCACTCCTATTTCCTTCATTGTGTCGAAGTACTGAGTCATGAGAACTAAGTCCATCACCTCCCGAGGCCTTAAGGACCCCGAGAAGGCGAGCACGCTTTCGCGCAGCCCGTCTAAGATAGCCTGCCTCTGTCGAGCGATTCCCATGCCCGACAAGTACTTGGATTCAGCTTCCCCCTCGGCTTTCTTGATTTCCAGAATTTTCTCTGCTTCTGCCTTGTCGCTCGCGGCCACCCTCAGTCGGCTGGCTGTTGAAACATCCATAGAGATATAGGTGTAGAAAAATGGAGACAGAAAAATAGAAATATCTTTACTTCTCTCGCTTGTTTGAGTCGAATAAATCAAAATTTTGAAATCAATTTATTATATTGCTGCATTTCGATATTATGTTTCTTGACTACTTTCTCCATTTAACTATTCACATTATCTATTGAATTTTATGGGAATGATTGCACGACTGATTTGAAAAATTCAGCACCGTGCTGATTTTTCAAATTAGTACATATAATATATACAAATAATACATGTTTTTAGTACACACAACACATAATATGTGTAATAAAGGTATGTGCTGTTTCTTTTCAAAATTATATGTGTGTTGTATAAGGGTATGTCATGTGTTAAAATCAACAGTTCTGTGTTGTATATAACTATATCATGTGGTGTTAGTTCATTTGTTGTATTTGTATTATATTAATATAAAGAAAGTGCTGCCTAGAAGTAATACGATGTGTTGTTTGTTATTACATCGTGTGCTGTTTAAATTCAACATTGTAGGCGCCGTCAAATTTTTTCTACCATTTCTCTATAACTTTCATTTTCTGTACTAAACGTTCGAATATAGCAATTCGCCATTGAATTCTCATTTTTTTCCTATATCCGCAATTCTATTGTCTATTATTCTATTATCAACAATTCATTATGTATACCAAACACCCGTATTATTCAAATTTAGCAATTAATGGAACGAGTCACCAACAAAAGTCTATGCATAAACTCATAAACTTACCTGCATTTATCTGATTCATGGCTTTTTTAACTTGAACATCCGGTTCGATGTCGACAATCAGTGTCTGCACAATCTGAAACCCGTAGGTCGACATGGCCTGTAAAGGAGCAAGCTTATTAAGTCACGTATTTACGCGTTTGCACATATATATAATCAGCCTTTGTGATCATCGACAGATTATTACCTTATCGAGTTGGCTCTCCACAGATTTCGCAACATCATGCTTCTGCTCGAAGGCTGAATCCAAATCCAGCCTCGGCACAGTCGCCCTTATCACTAAACGATTACATTTAAACTAATCTAAGCATTTTTTTTAAGTCGACGCAAGTAAAAAACACTGATTGATCGATACCATACCATCGAAAACATAAGCTTGTATTTGTGCTTTTGCATTTGTTAGCTTATAAAACGCATCCGGCGCCTTCTCTGCCATCGCTCGGTATTGCACCGAAGCAACAACCATAACAAACACATTATCCTGCAAAAATTATATTATTTTAAAACTTTAGGTGGACATGTTTGAAAAAAGTCTTTAAGTAAAAAATTTCGCTAAAATGGTCCTCCGGTGCCGTACTCGGCACGCTGGCCTGCCGTTGTTGACGTAGCACTAATGCGACTGATATGTCATCACCATGTAAATACCATGTCAGCGACATTTAGAATTTTTTTTATATTTTATTTTACAAAATGTATTGGTAAACTATTTTTTAAGTCTTACATATGACATTCTTTATTATTTTTACGATTTTAAATTGTCTCTATCTGAAAATAGTCTTGCAAATAAATTTTTTTACTAAAATGATCCTCCGAAATAGCATCTACGTTGCGATGACATGTCAGCTGCGTCAACATCATATCAGCAACGGCAGGCCAGCAAGGCGAGTATGGCACCAGAGGACCATTTTAGCGAAAATTTTTTACTTACAGAACTATTTTCATACATAGTTTATTTAAAGTTCTAAAATGATAAACAAAGTTAGATACACAACAAAAAAAAAACAGTTTACCCATAAATTAATTATGTGTATCCTTAAAAAAGCTTTTAACCTTTTTAGGTGATACGATCGTTTATAAAAAATTCAAATAGTTAACAATGTGGCAAAATAACAGCTTAAATCAAGATTTGTTGTGAATCCTTTAATTAATTCAGAGATGAGTTGACTCGCCTTAGTTTTTGTCTCGCAACGAACCTCAACCTGCTGCACTCGCAACGACAACAAGCCAGCCTTGCTGTACCCTATACACCACGGCATACAATGGCAGCCGGGCTCGAGCACCTCGTTGAACTTCCCCCACTGTTCCTTCACAGCGACCGTTGATTCTCTCACTTTAACACAGCCAAAAACTTGCCCCATTTTTACAGCCTATATACAAAAAAACTTGAAACAATAACCATTCTATGTTATAGAGAAAGTAAAATGATAGATACATAAAAGAGAGCAACATATTTTTTTCTGAACAAAAATAAAAGAGTATGTTATAGTCTTGTAAGGGATGATTGGGGCTGTGGGGTGCCAAATATGTTCGCCTAACATGACTTGTTTTGTCGAAATTAATTTGCAGACTATTAGGTTCGGTCAGGGTTTACTTTAAAGTACAATTTACACGTTATTTAAAAAAAAAAAAAATCTATATTATAAACTTTTGCTTTCGTTGTTTTATTAAGATAAAATAGTTATTTGATACGTTTTTTTTTCTAAATTATTTGATGAATAGTGATAAAACTTTAAAAGTGTATGTAGAAGTTTGCCTATTGTTAAGTGTCTTGTTGTTTCTATAATTTTTGTTTTGTTATTTTTTTAATGCATGTTGGTATGTTTTGTAGTATTTTTTTAGGCTTTGCTTGCTCAATAGTTTTGGAATTTGATACTATTTGAATTTTTATTTAAAAATATCATATTTAAAATATATATTTTTTTTTTTGAAAAATCACATTAAATATTAATTCTTTATACTATTGTAAAATTTTAAATCTCTAAAAAAAATCTCTTGTCTAAATCGAGCTTTAGATTTTCTGTTTTCATTAATTTTCAAATATTAAATGTACCAAAGCCAAATTTTTGTTATTGTTTGCAAGTTAATTATGATCTCTTTAAATATTTAAATATATTATTATTTTCTTAATACGATAATGTTGTATCATCAATGGGGGCACCACATTTTATTTCAATCATATGTAAGAACAATAATTTTAAAAATGAGAATCGAATTCTAACCAATTATGTATGGTAATTATGAGTATTGGAAAGAAACATTTGAATGCATTTAGGTCCACATTATGGAGACGGACAAACAAATGGGTCACGTGACTCGCCAACCTAATGGAATCCCATGTCATGTGTTATGTTTTATTTTTCTAAAAAATATTATATTATATTATATTATTATTTATCTAAAAATTACGTTAAAATTTCGTATGATTGGCCTTTGAGCCAATAATTTTTATTATACACCTGAATAAGTCCTGCTCATGAGGCCCATTTTACTAACTCGGTTGTGAGGACAATTATGTTTTTTTTTTTTTTTTAAAGAATCATTTGACTACAATGCTTTACAAATTGTTATACATAATATATATTTTTTTTTAAAAAAATAATGTATAATATGATATTTTTACAAAATATATCAATTAATATCACAAAAAACATTCAATTCAATATTTTATTATTGATAGTTTATCTGAAAACATATCCAAACTGGAAATTTTCCAAATCCAAAAACCCTAAAAACACATGAGCAAAATTGTTCGAAACGTGTTAGGGAAAGAAATTATGCACAAAAATGGCATACTTTCCTCAATCCCATAAAACAAAACTCAAAGGAAACACTAAAAAACACACAAAAATCATCGTTTGTTAAATGCAACAAACGACCAAATCAAAAGAAACCTTTACCATCTATGGAAGGTTAGATTAGTTGTGTGGACAAAAGAACATTAAGATCCAAAAACTAACCTAAAACAGAAAGGTACCATACTACATTCTGCTCGGTTTATTCCCGCGACCAGATCATGATCGTTGCATTGCCCCAACGAGACCAAAATCAAGAATATGCAGGGAGTTTATTCTTCTTGGGCAACCACGGTAATTTCGCCTTTGTTCAGCATATCATAGAATGCTCGAACTCTGCGCTGCTCGCTCAACTGGTGCATTTTCCATACGGAGCCGGCAGCAAGCCCAAGAACAACTCCGATAGCAATCTCCTTCACCACATTCGGGCCTTTAAGAGTAGGATGAGGAATCCTAGGACCAGCCATTTTGGATTTTAAGGCTTCTGCAATTAAGGCGCCGGGCAGAATTAGTCGTAACCATCCCACCAATAATTGTGCAAGAAAAATGATGTAATGAGCAAATATAGCAGAGATAAACAATGCAGTAGCAAGTCGGAGTTGGTACTAAATCATAGAGATGGGAATTAAAGAATGTTCACTCTACATAGCACAATAGTAAACCAAAACCAAAATGCCGACAATAGTCGTAACAATGTAATGAGCAAATACAGTACAGATAAACAATGCAGTAGCAAATAGGTTATTCTTTTATATCATAGATATGATCATCAAAGAATGTTCACTTTGCATAGTAATTAAGAATGTCAATAACGAATCAGATTGCATAAGGTACACAGTAAGAGCATTGGAAGAAACTAACACAATCTTTAATATTTGATCAATATATTGCAGATAAAGGTTTTCAAGCTTTTGTCTCTTTACATAAAAATATGATCATCCTGATTGATATTAAGTTGGGAGATTAACAACAACAGTTTTTGGTGCAGATTTCATAAACCAATTTGCCGGAAAATACCAGAACAAAACAAATGTGTTTTTTGTTTTACAAGAAGATCTAGCAATTCAATTAATTACTCAGAAATGCATAGAGAAGAAACGCGTTAATCATCCCCATTTATCTTCGATCATTTATTCCACTGTTCGATTGAATCATAGATGAATCTAAAGTTAATCATGCACTACTGAAAATGCGATCATTTTCGTTAGCAATATCCTTACAACATCCATAGTTTCACATATAAATGCATCCTGCAACATAGAACACAAACATGCCTAGAAAATTCAGCAATCGAAGCACATTTCCAAAATCAAAACTCGAACACTCAGAGACATCGATTATGTAAAAGAATCTGAAGCATAAGCAATATCTCCACAAACAACGAAAAAACCAGAAGCAAATCGAAGCCAAAAACACCTTTTTCTGTATAAAATTTAATTTCCAATCCGATCGAACAATGTGCAGCGTAATAAGAGAGATTTACCTTAACAAGCGTAATGCGCCACTCACGTAGAGATCTATGGTCCGATAGAAATGCAGTCGAGAAAAATGCGTGCGAGAAGGCATTTATAGATACCCATTCCGACGTCGTTTTGTGTTACATAATGAAACGACGTTGTTTTACACTAAAAACAGCTACAATTTCGCATTGCCATTAATTTGTCCACACTCCACAGCTATGGAAAATTCGACCGATAACTTGGGGTTTATTTGTAGAAATATTATAGAAGAACATATTTCATTCATCATTTTTTCTAATGGAATACTTTTTTTTTATAAATATTATTAAAAAAATATAAATATACATATATATTAATATAATATATATTATTCGTTTATTAAAAAATTTTAATAATTCAATATAAAATATTATTTTTTATATTATTAATATATTTTTTCTATCATACTATTAAATAAGACTAGACTGATTGAATATTTCATTTTTTTATATATTTTATTTTTTTATATATTTCAATGATTGTACTATTTCCAAGAAACTTTTAATATATTATAGTTTTTTAATAATATAATTTAATTTTTTTAATAATATATTTTAAATTTTGGAAAATAGAGGATTTGTATACGAGTTTTAATTTTTTATATAAAAATTGATATAATAATTTTTAAATACAAAAATAATCATTCAAATTTATGTTCTGAAAAATTATCCTTTTTTAAAAAAAAAAATAAAAAAAAAATACTGTAAAATGTTAAAAATATAATAATAAAAATTTGTGCCCAAAACGGTTCCCAGAGTTTGCTCCCTCGTTTGGATTCGAGATCGGCGGCGGGTAATGCAGGACGGGCGGTGGCAGCGGCGGTTTCTGGCCGCAGATTTTGTTTTGTCGTTTATGTGGGTATGGTCGGGCGTGCTCGTAACGATTTTTGTGCAGAAACTCATAGGTTACGGCGCGCATCAATTGGAAGGCGATGTTGTTCGATATGCGATCTCGATCCTGAACATGTTCTTCTTCGCGTTCATGAGTAAGGTCACCAAGGGAGGGGCCTACAATCCGCTCACGGTGCTGGCGGACGCGGTGTTGGGGGATTTTTCCAATTTCCTTTTCACTGTTGGCGCCAGAATCCCTGCGCAGGTTCGCCTTCAATTTTCATCGTATTTTCTAGCGGAAGTTCATGCTTCATTCGCAATGGTTTTTTATGGCAACGAATGCTTATGAGATGAATTTGTGGTGAATTGACCCATCTCTTCCTTCTACGTTACATTCTGAAAGGAATTCAAATGTATGAGGACTAAGGGAATCTGGAAATGATCAATAAATAGGTTTTTTGTTTGCCAATTTTGGTATTTGAAAATGCATGTTTAGTTTTGAATCGAATGAAAGATTAGATAATAAGTGATTGAGGAAATAGGAAAAGGATTGTTGCTTTGAATTGGAGCTATAAAAACACACGTTCTGTGCATTTTTCTGATATTTTGATGTGGTAAAACTTTGATGGCATAGCTATATATTGATGCCATAGTTGTCAATAGCTTAGCGTGTAGTTGAATGAAGCAGCAGTCTGCTGCTTTGCAATGGCGGAGGAGAGCATATCATATTGATCAATATAATACAATCTTTATTCTAAGTACGTTTAGATTTTATAGTATATATTGTATTTGTTATTTGATCACTATATAATGCTATCCAAGATTAACAACTATGTATAAAATGACAAATGCACATTTCTATGTTCCATAGGTTGTTGGATCTGTTTACGGGGTGAGGCTTATTCTTAATACACTGCACGGAATGGTGCACGGGCCGCGCTTAACTGTTGACATAGCAAAGGGAGCATTGACAGAAGGCTTTCTAACATTCGGCATTGTGATAATCACCCTTGGTCTGTCTAGACCAGGTAGCCGAGGTTTCCTGATGAATACTTGGATATCCTGCACCTCCAAGCTTTCTCTTCACATACTCGGCTCAGATCTAACTGGAGGATGCATGAATCCAGCGGCTGTGAGTGCTTCATTTCCTTCTTCATCTACATCATATCTTGTAATGGATCAGTTAAGCAGAACCACATCAATTGAGATATCTGTGTTCTTACTAGGTAATGGGTTGGGCCTTTGCTCAAGGAGAGCACATTACCAAAGAGCACTTAGTTGTTTACTGGCTTGCGCCGGTCCTCGCCACTTTGGCAGCCGTATGGGTGTTTAATATAATAGCAAAGCCTACTACGGGCGAGGCCCCGAAGGCGAAACCAGGAAAATCAGATTGAACTAGGATTCTTGATTCTTGATTCTTGTCTAGTTGAGGATTTAGAAATTCATTTTTTTGGTAGAAGATTAATAGGAGTAGAAATAAGTTTTGTTGGTGTTTAGTTTGATGTACTTTAGACAAAATTTGGATTTGGTAAAGTAGAGATGTTCATTCATACAATCTAAACCCCTGTTTGGTAGTGACTTTAATACAATAACAGGATGATTACTCTATAGAATGGAGGGAGAGATTCTTCAATAGACAAGTCGGGGTTCGAATTCTGCAAAGTCGACTGAACCAGACTCAATAGGTTTCATGAAATATGCTGCCAATAACTCATTAACCAGAGCTGCAATGAGAGGCACCCTCTTCAAGTTCTTCACCAAGGGAATGTCATCGGTGTCGCCTATTGCAAGAATTTGCTGGTTGATCTCCACCATCCTGTCCAGCTTCCTCTTAAATTCCGGGTTCTCGACATCCAACACGGCTGGGAAAATCCTCGCAGTTGTTCGGTTTGTCTGCGCAGAGAATAAATCAAGGTGATGTTAATAAACTTTCCTGCCGTTTTCGTGACTAGTTTGCATTATTAGCTAACATCATTTGTTAGATATAGAAGTTTTACCTCAATGATGACATGCATATCGAATTCCTTCGTGTTCAACCCAATCCCCTCATAGAATGCTGTTCTTTGGCAGTCATTAAGGTACATTGTCACATAAACCTGCATGAGCGTCAGGGAAATGGATAAAGATGAGATACCAATCATGAGCACTTAGACGAAGCAATTAAATGTAAGAACTGATTCAGCACCGAAAGGCAAAAGAACCGCGCCCAGAGCTTCGCCTTCCAGTCGTTGAGGAACTGTGGCTGCGCCTTCATCAAAGCAGAGAAGAAATCGCCATGGCGATTCTCATCCTGGCACCAGTTCTCAAAGTACTTGAAAATCGGATAGCATTGGTACTCAGGATTCTCCTTCAAATGCCTGTATATGGTGATATACCTCCAGTATCCAATCTTCTCAGACAGGTAAGTTGCATAGAATATGAACTTTGGCTTAAAGAAGGTGTATTTCCTAGCCTTGGTCAAGAACCCCAAATCCAGAGCCAAATTGAAATCTGACAACCCTTTGTTCAAGAACCTGTTTCAGCAACCTTAAACAGGTAAGATGAAGGAAGTTTCCATGGATAAAACAGGTGAATTATGGCGTCGAACTCACCCTGCATGGCGGGCTTCGTCCCGGGACATTAGGGAGAAGATCTCAGCCACCACGGGGTTAGTTTTCTGCAGAAAAACAGCCATTGATGTGAATTAAGGATAAAACAAGCCATTGATGTGAATTAAGGATAAAACAAGCCATTGATGGAGCTCCAAGAATGTTGATTAATACCTTGAGCCTCCTTCCAAGCTCTTTGTAGAGGAGAAAGCCAGAGAATTCAGCAGTGCAGGATCTCTCCAGGAACTCGACAAAGATCTGCCTGAGTGGGCCCTGAATCTTGTCAGCAGCTTCCTTGAATTCCTTGTTTCTTACAAAATGGGTCTGGTTGAAATCTGTCTTGAATTCTTGCAGCAGGGCTTCGAACTCGGCCATGTTGAGGTTCTTGTTGATCTCTGTGTTGAACAGCTGCTCCATTTCATCGAAGTCTGTGGTGTAGAATCTTGGGGTCAGTAGGGTCTCCTTGATTTCTTGTTTCTGACTCTTCTTCTTCGTGGATGCAGGTGGCGCCGCGGTGGATGATGACATTCTCACGGCGGAGAAGGGTCGCCGGATTTGGGAATTAGGGTTTCCACCAATTCTTTGGGTGGGGCTGCTGAATTTGGGGATGGGCTTTACCAGAGCCATTTTGGGAGAAGATTTGCAGAGTGGAGAGAGAGAGGGGGGGGGGAGAGAGAAGGGGTTTTATAAAAGTTTAGATTGCAGTGATTGGAAATCTCATCTCATCCCATCTACTGAAAATCTCTGGGATAAATGAGAGCTTGACACGTAGCAGGTACTTGGTTTTAATGGGGCATGGAGTTCTTGTGGTCTACCTTTCTCCAACCAAGACTTTCAGTTGCAGAATATTTTCAGTTCTTGCCGGGTCCGTGGACCTCAGAATGGGTGGTGTGTGTTCATCTGGCGATTCTATCCCCGGGACCTCCCAAGAATTATAAGGTCATAATCTCTTCTTTCTCGATTTATATCGTACCATGAAAATAAAATAAAATAAAATCATGGGTTTATGTATTTACACCAATCGGAAGCTTAATAAATAAATAAATAAATAAATTTTAATCTATACACATCTTGAGAAATTTCTGTTGTCAAGTAAACCGGAAGATGTGAATAATTTTCAGTCTCATCTTCAAGAACTCACATTAACTCACTCTTACATGTGTTTTTTCTAACAATCCCTACTCCAAATTTGCCTCACCGGCGGTTGCTGCATCGCCAGAGAAATTCTCCGGTAAGGCGGCAGACCTTTCGCTCAAATGATCGCTACTTTTCCGGTCTGTTACAAGGTCGTTGATTTCGTCCAGCATTGATCTTATTCCGATGCTTACTATTGCTTCCGAGTTCGATACTGTATGCGCTGTTGCGGCAGCTTCGTCATCCTCGGCAACAGCCCGGAAGTCGATCTGTGAAGGCGGGATTCTAGAGAAAAAGACTTCTTTCAAGTTGTTGATCATTCCTCTGTTGTAAGGATTCTCCGTGTCTATATATTGTGATCTGAAGTCCTCGAATGTCGTCTGCGATGGAAGAAAAATGAAAATTGGTGTCCAGTTTTAGAATGCGTTTGCATCAATCGCTAGGAAAAATCGAATGAAAATGATAAGAGGATCACCTTGTTAACCCAGATCAGGTAGGAGTGGTAAACCGATAGACCCCCGACAAACCAGAAGGCGAGGAAGCAGTAAAAAACGAGCACATCGAACAAGTAATTGTGCAACATTCCTTGCCACACGGTGCCTTCGTAGCGTAAAATCCCGTGCCATGAGAAAACAAACACATACGCGCATAAGGTTGTCGATGTCAAGATGAACATGTAGAAGAACCTGTAATTTCGCTTCAAAAGTAACGGGTGTTAGAAAAGACCCGATGAATTCGATGATGAGAAGATGTAATACTCACCACGCCGATGCATTGGCCGACCCATTGGCAGTGATGGTCGAATCGACAAATGCAGTTGTTGCAGACGGAGCAATGAGATGCTCGGGGCGGGCGATAGATCAAACACGTGTCGCAGAATTTTACTGTGACTGTGTATCCGTTCACGATAACATCCTTTGTCCGGGGAAACTTCATGTGGTGAGTATTACCGTCGAACCACTCCAACGACGGCATGTTAAGGTCGATGAACTCTTCGCACTCGTGAGGTGTTTTGTTCCTCGGGACAATCCCGGGGTCTCTACTAGACGTAAGTAATAGAAACAATAAGTCCTGGTAAGAAACATTAGAGTTGCTTAGTCTTTATTTAGAATTAAACTTCAATTTTGAACAAATAAAGTGTTTTGTATAAATTTTATATTCGTTTTATGCAATAAATAAAATACGGGTGTTTTATGCATTTTTATTAACAACAAGTTAAATAATTTACCTTTACCTGTGTGATTCATGTATAAATACTAAAGTACTTTTAATTTTGCCAAACATTTCTTGCACTCTTCTTTTTTTTTTTTTTTTTTCTTTTTTTTTTTTATAAATTTCTGATAAAAAATAAATATATTATTACTTTTGAATCTATATTCAACGAGATCTTGTTTTACTTACGAATATGGTTAAGACTAGGGCGACGAAAGGAATAGCATAGGAAGGAATGCCATGGTTATCATTTCGGATGGTCGTAAAGCTCTTTACAGAAAATGCAATGGCCGGAGCCACGATTAGGAACGACGACAACAACAGAGAAGAAGCATCCGGGCCGAAGATCAACCTTCCGCCAAACAGAAATTTCTGTAATTCCAAACACACTCAACTCAATCAATCAATCAATTTCTGAAATTAATTGCTGTAGGAAATTGACAATATTGCTTGTAAGAAGAACCCGAAAACAGAGCAGATCATACAGGAAATGTTGGATTCCATATCAATCGTGAAAGTGTGTTTGCATCGTAGAGAGAGAGAAATACTATTATTATTTTAAAAGTTTTAACGAATAAACAAATCAATTTAATACCAATAAATAAATAAATACAATTTTTGAAGAGGAGAGTAAAATAGCGCTTACTTACATTATTCCCTTTCCAAACTTGATAAACCCTCTTAGGGTTTGAATTCTCTCTGTCCATAACAATTTCGATTCGGAATCTGCTAATTCTCTGAAATCGACCTTCAAAACGACGTCGGAAGTCGAAATTCTCGAGCGCTTTCGTCATTCTTCGCCATCTCCTCCATAAACAACTGACGGATTTGAATTTGAAGAAATCGCGCTGGCTAGGGTTTCAGGAGAGAGAGAAACGGCTGTGAAGTTTATTAAGGTATGAATTATATATGATTCCGCCAAGTTTCAGAAACATCTTTCATTGATCCTCTTTCAAATTTGGGCTTCTTCTTCTCTGCTGTTATTTCTTTGGGGTTTGGCCTTCTGCAACTGCAAATACTCTGGCTTTTCTTTTCTTCTGACACCCAGGACCTCAGCACCAGACCTAGATGTGCCTTCCATATTTAGTTAATTAATTTAAATACACATAAGTTCTATCAGATTATTATCATTTTATAAGACGTGTTTTGTTTGATAAATTGCCTTTTTAATTTTCGAAAATCTGAAAATTGCACTACTGTCTAATGACCCATTTAGGATTTTAGTTAATTTTATTTGCCTATATACTAGATTATATGCATCTGTATGGTTCGACCTAAATTTATTTATTTATTAATATTTTGATTAATTTAATTGTCTTATTATTTTAAAAAGAAAAAAAATATATCTAACCTAATTTAGTTCAGCTTTATTATTATTATTATTATTATTCTTGGATAAGTTTAAATGCATGGGTCAACTAAATGATATTGTAAATATATATTTAGTATGTATCTTTCTAATGATATTTTACCTTAAATATATACAAGGAAAGAATATAATAATGCAAAATATCACAACAAAACACGCAAAATCTGACCTAATTAATTCGTTAATTAACTATCATAAATGACTAATAAAAATATATTAATTTCCAAAAAAAAACTAATGTGTAACTAAATTCTGCTTTAACATCTCATCCTCGTCAAAGATGTCCAAAAAATAAATTCAATATTTTAAACACACACAAAAAACGCTAAATATTGTATAATAACTTCTTTATTAGCATTTGTTAGACGTGCGAAGCACAAAATCTAAGTTGTATTTATATAGATATTCTAAAAAGTATCAATATTGTTTGTTATTAACATTTTTAAAAAAATAAATAAAAATTACATCAATAGTTATTTTTTCTTCACAAAAATATTACGTCAAATTTTTATTATTCTTTATATTTATTATTCTTTATATTTTTAAAATTTCTCAAACTCCAACCAAAATTTCTAAGCAAACAATAGAGCCTAAATATAAAAAAATGCATGGATAATGAAAATTTATAGTAAATGTAATAATTTCTAGATCAAGTTATTAGATGCAAGACTTTCTCAAGTAATAAAAAGAAAAAAAAAAAAAAACTTTAAATCTTTTATAGATATTAAAAAACACAAAACCAAAAACCAAAATTTATTTATCAAGTAATCTATAATTAATTCAACCACAATGTTCGATACGGCCGTGTTGAAAACAAAAAAGAAGTTCGAACTTGTTCGTACAACAACAAGAGTTCCCGCCATAAGACAACACATGTTGTTCAAACAAAACAAACACGAATCCTTTGTTATGTCTTCATCATCTTCTGTCACCTTGATCGTCATTTCTTGTATCTTTCTCGTCGTCGATCTGAAGCATATAAGGATTAGGCATCGCCTTACCATTCTTCACGCTCCCACCGATTCCATCGTAGTCGAGGTCTTGTAGGATAGACGGAACCGGTTTCCCGTCTTTTTCTTTCCCGATCTCAAGGTCCAATGCTCCACTCACCGCTCGAAAATCATCTGCGCCAAATCTTCTATTTATGGACCCGATCACGGAATTATCCTCCTCGGTGGCCCATGCTCGGAAATTCACCCGAGAGCCCGGCCTTCTCGAGAATAATATTTCCATCAAGTTCTTGAGAACCCCTCGATTGTACGGATTCTCCTTCTTATCGTAATTGTATCGGAAATTCTCGTACGTTGTCTAAAAAATGTACACGGGAAAATTGGTATAAAGAAAGTTTATTTGATCGGGGAGTTGTAAGTTGAGTAGAATTGATGAGTTTTTTATACTGACCTGATTGGTGCAAGTAAGGTAGAAATGGAATACGGTGAGCCCGCCGACGAACCACACACATATGAAGCAATACACGATCAACACGACGGAGATGACGTCCTTTGAAAACGAGCTCCAAAAACGCTCCGGTTGATTGATGAGATTCAATAGCGAAAACGTGAAGACGTAGATACAGAGGACAGTCGAGGTCGACACGAACAAGAAGAACGTCCGATAGTTCCTCTGCAAAACATTAATTAGTTAACGTCAGATCGATTTCGAACACTATCCTATAAAAATCGGAAAAATTGCAAGAAATATCTCACACTTATATTCTATTATCATGTTTGTCTTGTACTTATCTCTCTAGCAAAACATATTTTACTTTTTTGCAAACATATTGTACTTACGGCACGCGTGATCACGCGTAGCCAAAATAAAAATAATGACTTTTGTAAACATGTATGATATATTTTGTTAGCGAGACAAATACATAACAAAAGTAATAATGAAATATACATGTGGATCAATTTTTATAATTTTATCTATAAAAATCATTTTAGTGCAAGAGACACCGTGGCGCCAAATGCAATTTTAGTATATAGGCACAGCTTTTGGCGCCAATTAAAACTTCGGCAAGGCCAAAATGACTTTTATAGGACAATAGATTTAAAGTTGTTATAAATATCTTATTAAGGTTTGATCCGATTACGTACAACTCCGATACATTGCCCGACCCAAGGGCAATGATGATCGAACCTCTCGACGCAATTATTGCAAATCGAGCAATGGGACGAGCGCGGCGGCCGGTACAATAAGCAAGTGTCGCAAAACTTCACTCGCACTATATGCCCGTTGACGACGACGTCTTTTGTTCTCGGAAGCCTCAAACCCGGCGTCGCGCCGTTGATCCACTCCATCGACATCGACGCAATCGATCCCGATATGCTTTCCGGGTCCGGCAGCCGCGAGCTCCGGGGGATGATCCCCGGATTACTCGCGGAAGTCATGTAGAGAAAAATCAAATCCTACAACAATTCAAGAACATTACTAGAAGCCAATTTCTTAACCTTCCATGTCTGAAATTCGATGAAGTTCGATTGCTAACCAGAACTGTAAGAGCAAGGCCGATGATCAACACAGTTTGGCCGTACATCTTTTCGATGACCGGCAATCGGAGTAACATTCCGACGCAGAACGTCAGCGCCGGTGCGCCGATCAGAAATGTCGACAGGAGGATCGATGCTCCGTCGGGACCAAAAACCAATCTCCCGCCACACAAAAATTTCTAGAACACAATGGTAAGAACAGAGGATGTAAGTATCGATCAATGACACATTTGAAAATTCGAACACAGAAATTGTTCAATGGATCATCCATTTTCAGCAAATGTAATGGTAATGCTAATGATCCAACATAAAACACCAAAAATGTCCGAAACCCTAATTTGGTTCAGAACCGAAATTGGAAACCCTAGAAATCGAGATTGGATTGAAATTAGGGGGGAAACAAAGCAGGAAACTCAATTTTCATCCATTTTCAGCAATTGCAATAGTAATAATTATAATAATGATAATAAACAGTAAAAATGTCTGAAACCCTAATTTGCTTCAGAATCGAAATTGGGAACCCTAGAAATTGAAATTGGATTGAAATTAGGGAGGAAAAAGAGCAGAGAACTCACATTTCGTCCCTTCCAAACCTGGTAGAGTCGAAGCTTCGATCTGGGAGGATCCATGGAAACCCTAATTGTTCAATCGTCTCCCCCAATTGCAGAAAAGGGGGAAGCAGTGCAGCAATGGGGGATGGAGAGAATTATTACCATGACAAGGGGCAGCGATTGGGGGGGGGGGGGGGGGGGGGAAGAAATTGCAGCGAATCGATCGATTCTTGCCCTAATTTTGTCCTGTTACTGCCCCTTCTCTTACATCCTCTCCTCCAATCGCTGGAACAGTAATAATGGCGACGGTAATAATGATAATAATTCTCCCCCTGACGACGACGACGATGATGATTGTTATTGTTGTTGTTGTGTTCTTCGTGTTCTTGGAGATTCAGAAATGCTATTCTTGGAAGGGTTGGCGACGATCGATCGATGGATTGATGGCTTGGATTGGATCTTGAGGATGCTCAAAATTCAAATCCAACCGTGGTTTTCGCGGACACCTCGTTTGGATTTTCTGAGAATTTAATAAATAAATTGGATATTATCTAATCTTTGATCGAAATTATATTCATGCATGCACACACTTGTTGAAGACATAATTTAAAATTTATATATAAATATATGTGTGCCTGAAAATGGTTTATGAAAGTTTCAATTTTTGTAATAATTATATTTGCTTGATTTGATCCAAATGTATGTATATAATTTTTTGTTCTTTTTATTTGTTTATTAAATTTATACAATTTTTTATAATAATAATAAAAAGGATCATGCATAATAATACCAACATATATACCCTTATTTTAATTCACCTAATCATACCATTATCACTTGAATATCTCTCAATATAAGTGGGATTCGTGTAGGGTGGCAATTCGGCCGGCAGGTTTTTTTTTTTTTTTTGCGCCAGGCCAGTCTGATCCGATTTGCTATCGGATCTGGAAAGGCCGGCCCGAATACAATTCGGTTTGAAACTGTAGAATTAAATATATTTTAATAATAGAAATGAAAAATTGAAACTGCAACCAAATACACGATTTGGAATCGGCTCTGGAAAGGCCGGAACACGATCCGATTTGAAACCGTAGAAATATATTTTAATAATAAAAGTGGGAAATTAAAACCACAACCAAATATATACTAATACATTTACCATCAAGCCATGTGTAATTTTTATTTTTATTTAAAAAATTAATATATACATATATATAAATATAAATTTATTAAAAAATTAAAATTAATTTTAAAAACCGGGCCGGACCAGCACAACCCGACATTCATGAGTTTGGACATAGCCCGGTTCATTAGCGTGTCGGATTAGGCATGACCCTAAAATTTTCGGACCTATTTATTAGCACTCAAGCATGATTTTTTATGTTGTGCTCGGATTGAACTTTCGAGTCATATTTATTTTTGCCCCTAGATTCATGTGCTTTCAAATGGTTAATTTGTCAAAAATCTTATTATACATTTTGGGAATAATTATAGTGTTGATAAGGGTTAATATCACCATATGAAATATAATTGTTAATATCACCATATGAAATATAATTTGACAACTTGGTAAGGGTTTCGATCAAAGTCCCAAATATTTTAGAAAGTTGTTCGAAATCATTAATTATATTGATCTTTTGGCGTAGAATTGTGTTCGACCTTGAAAATATAGAGGGTGTTTTCTTTGCATTTAATTTTTCCTTTTTGTTGCAACTTTCGCAATTTTTTATAAAAATAATATTTTCTCCTGTAATAAAAAAAAAAAAAGTTCCTCTAAATTATTATTTAAATTAAATATATTCCACTGAAAATTAAAACACAGATACAAATACAAAATGCACACGCGAAAAAAATTAATAATAATGACGAATTTTTAAAATTATTTTTAATTGTTTATTGCTTATTTCTTGTATTTGTCCATTGACTTTTATCCCATCAGATTCTTAGGTTGTTTGTCCATGAAGTATTCCAATTTTATTTATGTATTTGTTCATATTGGAGTTGCTTGCACATTATACATGTATTCCAATTTAATCTACATATATTTACTCAATATGATTGTACAAAGTATATAAATACAATAAATAATAAGAGAATGATTTATTTTGAGTTTTTTTTAACGTAAATTACTTATATATATATAAATTATTTCATTTTATCATATTTAACTATTATTCAAATTAAAACTTAAAATCAAAATCCAAAATAAAACTTCAAAAAAATACACCCTAAAAACATTTTAAAAAATACATTGACTCTTTGTATATTTTTATTGAAACACACACATAAATATATAAATATATATAACATTTTCAAGTTATTGTAAAAAATAATACACATATTTTTTCTAAAAATTAATATATTACATATTCATTATTTTTATATTATCTACACAATTTTTTAGTTTCACATAAAAAAAAAAATCTCTTCAAATTATTTTACAAAACAAACACACCATTAAAGTTTAGATTTTTTTTAAAAATAATTATATTTAAGTATTTGGCATAATATTTTATTTTTTTGAAAATATTATTAATAAATAATATTAAATTTTAAAAAATAATTATATAAGCAAAAGTAAATATAAATATAACAAAATAATCTATCGTAAAATAATACTACTTTTGTACGTCTTCTAAGGGTTTTATTTACTTTTTGTGGGTTAATATTTTAATATTAGTTATTATATGAAAACGTAATACAAACGAAAGGAAAATGAAATAAATACTTTTGTTACTGTCTTATAATACTATAGTAATGACATTTATACAAAAAAAAATTATACAAATATAAAAATATTTTTAATGTTAAATATAATGACGTAAAAGGTAAATGAGATTTTTAGAATCGAAAGAAAAGAATAAATAAACAAGCTATCCTAATATGTAAAGCTAAAAATGAATTATAGTTAAGATTTTCACGTCTTAAAAAATAAATTACAATCCCTATAAATATATTTTTTAAAAAAGCATATGTATACCACCTAATATTTTTGAATGATACAATTTTTTAAAAATATTATAAAAATATAATATATATATATACAAATTAAAAAATATAATATATATTATATTTAATCATAAAAATATAATAATTAATATAAATTATTATTTTTTATATATATTATAATACTATTTTTCATATTTAAAATATAAACACATTTATTCAAATATACAAAATAAACATACGCTACATCTTTTTCCATAATTTCTTGTTTTGCGTGTCTTAAAAGAAATCAAAACTTCATTTGGTTTAAAGTAAAAGAAAAACTTGCACATAGATTATGATCCAATGTCACATTAATATTTTGACTTATACAAATTTACCTTTTTTTTTTTTTTTTTTTTTTTACCATTTAAACTTATTTTTTTTCCTTACAAAAATATATTACATTTATAATTTTCATTTAAAACATCATATATAATAATTATTTTATTTTAAAATATATAAATAAAAAACTTAAATAAAGTGTGTTTGATTAGAGGCTTTTGTTGAATTATCATATTTATAATCATAAAACATGTAATATGGTTAAACTTATATATAAAAAAAATATATATATTTTATATGTGAACACATTAAAATAACAAAATATATATAATTTTCAAATAAACAGAGAGTGTAATATATTTAATACTACACTTCAACTGATAAAACAATAAATACTACGTTTCTCCTATTAAATAATCTTAATTTCTATTTTGGATTATCAATTTATTCAGTCTTCATTCCTATTTATAAAAATTACCATCATAAGTATTATATATAAATTTAAAAAGATTTTAAAATTTTAAGATTATTATTATGATTTATCTTATACAAATTTATTCAATAATATAGTATTATTTTTAAAAAAAATTATTATTACATTATTTTAAAAAGAATATATCAATATATCATCAAGTAACAACTCCAAACAAAGACCCACCACTTCATTAAATATAGTAGTAATAAATAATATTTTCTGTATACCATTTCTCTATTTATTTTGATATATTAATGTTTAGATAAAAATTCTTTTTTATATTTTATATAATATTACAAAGTCGAGAAGCCAATTGGTTTAGAAAAAAAAAACTTCCATTATCACTTCTTTATTAAATATTAATATTCTAAAATATATTTAGAAAACAAAATAAGAAATAAATAGAGAGGTGCCCCTCTATAGTCATCATTTTCATTTTGGTCGATTCTAATATTTTTTATTTTCTGAAAAATCATTATACATTTTAAAAAAATATTATATATTTTAATTATATTTTATAAATTTTATAATTTTTTTATTTAATTAATTAATTATAAATTAATAATGATAATAATAATCCAATCGATCTACGGTGGACTCTACCTTATTTATTTATTTAATACTTCATAATTAAAATATTTCCTCCGTTCCAAATATCATATCCATATTGTCGTTTCTTTTTCTCTCATATATCGTATTACTTTCATTTTTTAAAAATATTACACACTTTAATCTTATTTTAAATTTTTAAATTTTATTTTTTTTAATTTAAATTAAATTAATTAATTATCTTAATTTTAATTTATAATTATTTTTATTATAGGTAATTATTTTCGCTAGTCAATTCTTAATTGTCTTTTAATTATATCCCTCTTATCGACACAGCGAGTGAGCAGTATCTGTTAGAGAGAGAGATAAGCGAGAGGCAAACACAGGGCAGCAATCTACAAGAAGACGCCCTTGATCTCAGCGCGAAGCCAAGCCACTGTGGTTGTGGAAGGAACCTCTTTGCAAAGCAAATTATTCGATCGTTATCTTCCCCAGCTCACCCCACCCCAAAGCCGATTTGATTGTTGTTTCCGTTAAGCCAAAGATATCACCAAAGTCTCCAATTTCCAGTTTTTTTGTGCCTTCAAGCAATCGAAATACTCTTCCCCCCTACAGTCCCACACACACTCACTCCGCCAAAACAGATTCCATTGTCGTAAAGCGACTGATGACTACCGCAAGCAACTGATTTTACTCTGCTGATCTCACTATCCCTCCCTCCCTCTCTCTCTCTCTCTATATATATTTATATATATAAGTGGCAGTGCCTTCTCTCAATTGGACGTGCGAGAGGAAGAAGGGGGATTCCTGGATTGGCAATTTGGAGGTAAAAAAATTGCTGTTAATTTATCGAATGGGGATAGTCAGTCAGTCAATTAGTCCTTGATTTAATGATTGTTGGTGAAGTTTCCATGAGAAATCATTTCTGTATTGATTTGGAATTGCATCTTCTTCCTTTTTTTTTTTTTTTTTCTGTTGTATAGTTTTCTACGAATAAAAGGAAAGGGGGAAATTTTTTGAGTAAGGATCTGTTTTTGTTTCTTTGCTATCTCAGTCAAACTCAACTGTTGGTAGTGCTGAGCTTGGCAAAATTTGCTAAAATGAGTGTCAATGGAGTTAGGACAGAGGAAATTATGTGATAATGATTATAGAAAGACTGAAAAGAAACAATTTGTAGTGTTTATAGATTTAGGTGTTTATTATAGGGAAAAAACAATTTGTGTGTTTTTGTCGACTATTATTGTTGTTATATATATTTTGTATGTTTATGGTCATATTTTGAATAATTGTGTAGGTATGGTAATGACTTAAGGCATAGTGTTGTAGTTCTTTCTGGCATCTTGTTGTATTGTGTTTAAGCATCGATGATTTCGTGTTCGTGTAATGACTTAAGTCACGGTGTTGTAATGTTTTAGGTAATTCTTCTTTCATCTCATTGTATTGTCTGTAAGCTTTGTCGTATCCTTCTTTTATGTAATGGCTTAAGGCATGATGCTGCTGTGATTCTTTCTTGCATCTTAAAGTATGATGTTTAAGTATTGTCGTATCTTCTTCATTTTTTGACTTGAGAGTAAAGAAATGGTGTCATTGTGGTTGCTGTGATTCTTTAATGCATCTCATTTTATTATGTGTGTCGAATTGTTGGAAGTGTTGCAAGAAAGTTGTTCTACAACTCGGTGAGAGTTTGTAAGGAGACGGGATTGAAGTGAATTGGTTGCATTGCCTATTATGTTTTTACTTTTTAATCTTGGAAGCTTTTTGGTTGCTTTGTATACTTTGGGATTAGTTAAAAAACATTCTATGAATTGGTGGAATCGACTGTTGGAATTAGTTGTCATTATTTAGAAAGTAATTGTTTTATTTGGTGAAGTTTTTAGTCTTTTGTGGTAATGTTTGCGTAATTTCTGCGAGGAAGTCTTATTCGGTTATGCACTTTTTTGTCCTATTTGGCAATAAGATCAATTTGTTTCAAAGTATGGCTTTCTCAATTCGGTTTTTAGTGCTTTGCTTCTGTCATTTGGTTTGTTCTTTTTCACTTTTTCTACTAACTAGATAACTCAACTTGAAGTTTGATCCTCACAACTAGCGGATGCACTGGCGACGAAATGGAACGCAATGCGCTGCTTGTATGCTTGATTCTTCTGAGTGCTTCGTGTAAATCATCTGCTGCCAGGATTGAAGCAAATCAGACGGTAGCGCTCTTAGTAAACGCCTCGAAAGCGAGCGCGAAGAAGATTCCAGAGACCTTATTTGGTATCTTTTTTGAGGTGAGATAATCAGCCGTGATATTGTTCTTCATTTTCGAAATTTTTATTCCAAAGATAATTATGTTCCTCGCCTATCTTGTGCTACTTCCATGTATGAGATCTACGTTGTAAATATAATTTGAATCGAATGTATATGATTATGCGCTACTGAGGTTTAATATTCTTGTGGCTATGCCGGATGTGATTAGATTTTCCTTACGGTACGTGCAGGAGATTAATCATGCTGGTGCGGGTGGATTATGGGCTGAGCTCGTCAGCAACCGAGGTAAGCTTGAATGCATTTTAATATTCGCCTGCCTAATTGCATTCTTGATTGTATTTTGTTGTTTCTACATGATTTATGTGAAACTGTATCGATTTCTCAAGTTTTCATTTTGTCACCTACATTTTTTTATCATATGAAGTGTATTTCGTAATTTTGATCCATCAAATGGAGCTTGACATAATATAAGCTCTTGGATTGGGGTTAGGATGATCTTGTTCAAGGCCTAGTCTATTGCTCGTCTCGTTGACACCGAATATGTTGCAAAATTATGCGAAACTGCAGGTTTCGAAGCAGGGGGTCCGAACACACCTTCCAACATCGATCCCTGGTCTATTGTTGGGAACGAATCATATGTAGTAGTTTCGACAGAGCGTTCGTCATGCTTTGATCGGAACAAAATAGCGTTGAGGATGGATGTGTTGTGCAGCACCGAAGGCGCCAATATCTGTTCAGCTGGAGGAGTCGGGATCTATAACCCCGGCTTCTGGGGAATGGTAAGAACACATTCTCTTTGTAATCTTGGAAGACTAACAGTCATTCGACATTTGAAAATTTATAAGTATATTTTGTTTTCAGAATATCGAACAAGGGAAGAGTTATAAGTTAGTTTTTTATACTCGCTCTTTGGATCCAATCAACGTGACTGTGTCGTTGGTTGGGACGACTGCATCCCGGACGCTCGCCACCAAAAACATTATGTAGGAATCGCCCCTTGACATCGACAAAACGTTGAATTCATCGAAGGTTTCTTATTTCGACATTTTGATTATGTTTTCTTTTCTTGCAGAGTTTCAAATGCTTCAAGTTGGACTAAAGTGGAGGCCACTTTGCAAGCAACGGGAAATGATTCGAATTCGAGGCTTCAACTGACGACATCCCGGAAGACCGTCATCTGGTTCGATCAAGTGTCACTAATGCCCACCGACACATTCAAGGTAAGAACCAAATAATTTTCATGTTATCATCGCGATAACAATTTTGTTATTACATTCGTCTGCTGTTTTCTCGACACACAGGGACATGGTTTCCGCAATGATCTTTTCGACATGGTAAAGAAGTTGAAGCCGGGATTTATGAGGTTTCCAGGTATCCTTTGAATGCTCTTTTTCACAATCAACCAAGAAAATGCGGTGGCTGTTCAATGCTGTCCGTATGCTTACATCCACGATTTCAGGTGGTTGTTTTGTCGAAGGCGAATGGTTAAGGAATGCATTTCGTTGGAAAGAAACGATAGGCCCGTGGGAGGAGAGACCGGGCCATTTTGGTGACGTTTGGCATTACTGGACCGATGATGGATTTGGTCACTACGAGTTTCTCCAGGTAGATTTTCGTTATGATCTTACATCAAAGGATCGATCAATCGAAGACATAAATACTGATTTTCTTATCCCTTTTGTCCTGATTTCATCACAGCTTGCCGAAGATTTAGGCACATTACCTATATGGGTGTTCAACAACGGTACCATCGAAAACTCCATAAATAGCTTCAGCTTCTAATAGCCAACGATTGACTCAAACCGTGCATTATTTTCTTGCCGCGCTTCTGATCTTCAGGAGTTAGCCACAACGATCAAGTCGACACTTCTGATGTATTACCGTTCATACAGGTACGTAAAGACTTAAAATTTTTCGTGCTTACAAAAATTTTTACGCTAATTTTTTGGTTCGGCGATTTTACTTTAACTGAAAACAGGAAATTTTGGATGGACTTGAGTTTGCAAGAGGAGACAAAACTACAAAATGGGGTTCGGTTCGAGCGTCGATGGGCCATCCGGAGCCCTTTGACTTGAGATACGTTGCCGTCGGGAACGAGGACTGTGGAAAGAAGAATTACCTCGGTAAGAAGCACCTGAGTACATATGTTACCAAGTTTGTCCGAATAAGACACACGAGAGCTTCGATATCTATCTATGTTTCTCGACAATGCAGGAAACTACCTCAAGTTCTACAATGCGATAAAGCGTGCCTATCCTGACATCAAAATAATATCAAATTGCGATGGCTCTTCCAAACCTTTGGATCATCCGGCTGACTTCTACGATTATCATGTAAGAACTTGTTTATACTTACAAACTGTCGAGGGTACGATACAAGAGCTTAGTACTGCTTCTTAACTTATCGAACAGATTTATAGCAGCGCGAATAATGTGTTCGCTGAGTCAGGAAAATTCAACAAAGTGCCGCGAAATGGTCCTAAGGTTTGTTCCGGTCACATGTATATATATCATACAAGTTTCGCGTTGAATAATGTTATGGACGATGTAGTGAATGTATATGCGCAGGCTTTTGTGAGCGAATATGCTGTGACGGGAAACGACGCGGGCAAGGGTAGTCTTTTAGCTGCTATAGCCGAAGCCGGGTTTCTTATTGGGATCGAAAACAACTGGTATTTTTACTCGATTGATTGATTCTCGATAATATTCTCTTCCTATATATGTATATTTTGTCGAGAGCGATACTTTTGTGACTTCTGTACAGCGATGCTGTCGAAATGGCGAGTTACGCGCCTCTGTTCGTGAACACCAACGACAGAACGTACGTTGTTAAAGAAACTTACTTGTATTGCATCTACGTGTTTTGTCTCGTTACGATGTTGTCCTAACAGAAGGTAATAATGTTCTTCGAGCCAGGTGGAACCCCGATGCGATTGTGTTCGATTCTTCCCGTGCCTACGGAACGCCGAGTTATTGGATGCAGCATTTCTTCAGGGAGTCGAACGGCGCCACTCTCCTTAAAACGACTCTTCAGCCAAGCACTTCGAGCAATCTCGTCGCTTCAGCAATTACTTGGAAAGATGCGGATGGGAAGACGTACCTACGAATAAAGGCAGTGAACTTCGGAAGCAGTGATGTGAATCTTCAAATATCGATCGAGGGTTTGGAGGTGAGCTCGATGCTGGCAATTGGGTCGACAAAGACTGAGCTCACGTCCAGCGCCGTGATGGACGAGAACTCTTTCGTAGCTCCTAGGAAGGTAAGCGGGCGATCCGAGTCTTATCATTTCTCGCGTGTTATGTTCTGTTCTTACGTCGCCGTTTTCTTCGATTCTTGGTTCTTGATGTGCAGGTGGTGCCCATGAAAGCCCAGATGGAGAATGTTGGGGAGGACATGGATGTTGTTCTTGCTCCACATTCTCTGACATCATTTGATTTGTTGATCAATTCAAGCATCAAGATTGTGGGATACCATGATTCTTCTGCTGCTGATGTATCTTCCTACTGAGAACATCATGTCTGAAACTTATCGATTTAAGCAATAAAATTTCATACTATGCAAGAATCTATGTAAATTCCCGGCAAAATTTATCGATATGCTACGGTTAATGTAGCTGCAGAATGTCGCTGTTTGATCATTAAATGAAATTTAAAACATGCTCGACATAGTGCTCAATCTCATTTGTTTGAAAGCGTAAAGAAATGGCAAGAATTCGACATAAATGTTTAATCTCATTTGTTCAAAAGTGTAAAGAAATAGCATGAATTCATATTCATATGAAAACTTCTAAACATGCCAGAATTCGACATAAATGCTCAATCCCATTTGTTCAAAAGTCTAAAGAAATGGCGCGAATTCATAATCGGATTAAAAACTTCTAAACAGGCAAGAAATTTGTTCTGAAGATATATAGAAATTGTCGAGCTATGATCGCATATACAATTAACAAAACTAGATTTCATCATCACAAGGAAGCAATTGTAGTAAACAGTAGGAGAATGGGTCGTCGTGCAAACCTGTGAATATCCGGAGGAAGTGCTCAAACATTCTTGTTTGCTTTCAATTTTGAAGGCGGCCATCGACCCTTCTTCCTCAAATGCCGTTTCCTCACAAGCCTCTTTCTCCTTAACCTAATCTTCTTCGCCATTTTCATCCTCATCTTCTGCTCAAGCTTCAGCTGAAGCTTCGACTCCAGAGGAAGCTTTTCGATGGGAATGTTTTTTCCTTCGCCATCCGAAGGAGGAGTGGGAGAGTCTGGACTAGCAGGCTCTGCTCCATCAGTCTCTGAAGATGCCTTCACAATCCACAAGCCTCTGTCACCGAGAACAAATGGAGATCGAATTCGACCTCCAATGTAGGTTTTTGGAGGCAATGCTACGGACTTGTGGAGCAACCTGATTGCTATACAATAAAAGATTAATTGCAATATAACTTGTGACTCCATCAAAACTTGCAGCTTGGATTATGGTAAGATATACAACACTTTAATCCATTATCTCCCTAAATTAAACACTCTAAAGAACAGATTTTGGCTCAACTTGTTGATTTTCAAATGTAGCAAGTGATGAATGCTTTTGATTAAATGCAGACGACATGTTTGCGTAAATGTCTCAACGACAGAAGGTATCCAAAACGACATTCAATACAATCAGATAATACATACTTCACAGAATTGATTCTAACGAAGTTCTGAAAACAGTTTCTAGAGCTAAAAGCACATAAGAGAAACTAAAATTTCGAGGAAATAAGGACTCACATTGCTATTTTGATTCGATTCTCACATATAAAAGCGAATATATATATATATATATATATAATCATAGCTACAAGGAACGCAAAAGAAGGCTCCGAAATTCTCGCAGAAGTTCGCTAACATGATTGCGCATAAACATTCACACGCATCCAGATTAAGCACTACACACAAAAATAAATAAATAAATAGTGACACCATTTCTACATCAATCAATTACAGATTCAGTAAATTCAACCGCACTTACAAGGATAAGCAGCGCACCCGGAAGCTGAGGAAGAATTTGGAGCGAGAGAAGAAATGGGAGAGGTGAAGATGAGAGCCATCTCCGTAACGTTCGTTTCGAAGTATCGAAGAAGGATAAGCCTTTCTTCCTCTATCCTCTTATTCATTCTGTTGGGGAATAAAAATGCTTTGTTAGCATTGAGTCCTCATATTTTAAAAGTTTACAAGTTGACCCCAAAAGTTAGATACTTCGTACACTCGATAAGAGGGCTTCCAGTCAGTTCAAAAACGCAGTCGCCTTTTACCTTCGCGGCCACTCGTTCCACCTGAAGCCGCGGCGAGCCAAACCACCGTGCGGCGGCGAAATTCCGGCGACGCACCGAGGTTTTTATAACTAGAATCAGGTTTGATTGCATCCGAATTTTACGTATTCTGAATTTGTTAGAATTTTTTAAGTTTCTCCTGCGATGCCTGTGTTAGATGCTCTGTTTTGTAATTCACGTGGTTTTGTACTTTATTTAGTTATCTATTTGTTCAGGATCAATGCTGTTCTTATTGTTGGATTTTTCTGGTGATTTTGTTCATTAATTGGCCAACTCTGTGCTACTGCACTGCAAGCAAATAAAATTGATTGAGCTTCACATTTGTTAACAGTTAGAGGATTTCTCAACGTTTTGTAAGATGCTATAAGTTATGCATTATTAAGTACATTTGTGTGCTTGAGGTGGAGAAAAGAATAGGGATGAGTTGACATGTTGGGATTAATATGAATAAATTAAACAATAAATTCATACATCCTAGGAATTTTTCTGAATTTTGTGGGCATTTAGAAGCTTTGTATGAATGAAGAATTTGATTGAAATGAAGCTACTTATTTGTAGAGATACTGCTATAGGTTTTGGACAATGTTACAATCTGTTAGAGTTTCTTGATGTCCCTTCCTGCTATCTTTTTTAGAACTTACTGCAGCTAATTTCTATTGTTACACCGCTCGAGCTTGGTGATGCTCATGAATTTTACAGCAATCCTATTGAGGCCAGCTGTGGGATCTTCCGGATTGAGGCATTTATTTGCGCTTCTGTAGTTAGATTGTTCATGATTTTGTCCTAATTTCATTTATGTTGGAGCTTTGTCTATGGTTTTTGTAACACTAGTTTTGTGCAGTATAGGAGAAAATAGTCTATTTGGTTATGAGGTTTTTGCATCGATTCATCGTCACAAAGGAATCTCCATTTCATGGTGGTATGTTCACTGCTTCAATCCAAATCCGCTTCAAGAAGCCAGCAGACACTGCCCAGACTCGCCTTGAGGGCCGCACTCGGGATCCCAAGCTTGATCTCATTGCCTTCCAACACTGCCGGCTTGCACACATTCTCAATCTCTACAAATTTATATCATCAAAGAAACGGGGGCCATACGTGTCGTTGCAGCTCCTTTCAAGATGGGCCCAACATGTTGGTCTTAATACCCTCACTGGTGGTGATCTTGTGAGAAAATACCCGCATATATTTGAGGTATTCACTCATCCCATCAGAAGGAATGTGTGCTGTAAATTTAGGCCAAAATTTGTGGAATTGCTTGATTTAGAAGATGAAGTTGTGCATAATACAGAGGAAAGTAATGTCATCAAAATCAGGAAAATTTTATCCATGTCTGTGACTGGTAGGATTCATCTTCATGCAATTAGGCTGATGAGAAGGGAATTAGGGCTGCCTGAAAATTTTAGGGACTCTATTATCCTAAAGTACAGTGATATATTCCGAATGATTGATTTAGAGATCGTTGAGTTGGTTGATTGGAATGGAGATAAAGGGCTTTCTTGTTTCTCACCAGAGATTGAAATATGGAGGGAGAGACAGTACAGAGAGAAATGGTTGAGTGAGTTTGAGACTAAGTATGCATTTCCGATCAACTTCCCAACCGGCTTCAAGAAAGTCCCTGGTTTTAGGGACAGATTGAAGAACTGGCAGAGGGTTTCATATGTCAAGCCGTATGAGAAGATGGAGAAGGTCCGTGTACGTTCATGTGGAGGAATTGAGAGATATGAGAAGAGAGCAGTGGGAATTATTCACGAGCTTCTTTGTTTGACTGTGGAGAAGATGGTGGAAGTGGAGAGATTGGCTCATTTCAGAAAGGATTTGGGGATAGAGATTAATTTGCGGGAGGTTCTTTTGAAGCATCCCGGGATTTTCTATGTATCAACAAGAGGGAATGTGCTGATGGTTTTCTTGAGGGAAGCCTATGTTAGAGGTTGTTTGATTGGAGCTAATGCTGTCTATGACGTTCGGAGGAGAATGTTGGAGCTTATGTTGTTGGGTTGTCGGAACACTAGAGTTTTAAGAGAAAATGATCAAGGCGGAGAAGAAGAAGAAGATGGAGATGGAGTGGCTGGTAAAGATGGCTATTTTGTTATCCCAATTTTGAAGAGGCATTCTTCGAAACCTAGATAATTGTGGACAATCAAATTCGAAGCTCTATGGGCTCAATGATAAGGGCAGTCTAATATTGGTGAGTATATTTTCTTCGACTTCATTGGATATTGTTGACAGTTGAGTTTCAGTTTCATTGCCATTGCTTGCAACACTTAATAACCTTAGCCATGTCTGAATTCATCTTAGCAGATTACACTCATCCATCAAGCAAGCTGCAGTGCCAAGGAGGGTGGAAACCCGGAATCCATTACGGCATTTTATCTCTCCCAAAGTGGTAATTCAGCTCCGGCTATCATATTCAAAGGTAAGTCCAAGAAACCCTTTGAACTTGATCAAATGTGAGCTTTTCCTACATGCTATTATTTAATTTTACACTTAGAATAACTCAAGAAACTTCACCTATAGGACAAATATGAGATATCCTTAAAACTTAAAAGTCATAATTAGATTAGTTGAAGGACTAAGGGAATTTAGAGCTGCTTTTTATATAGTCAAGTCTTTGGGGTTTGAGAATATTTGTGGAAATGCTAAATTATTTGTTTTCTTTACAATCTGTAAAGAAGATAGAAATTCATTTAACTTTAGGGGTAAGGATGCCTTTAGACCAAGTCTCCAAATTCATTCCATTCACAAATTATTAGATTTTTTTGGACTGACTGCTAACATATTGGAGCAGTTGGACTCAGACAGTCTAAAGTCTCCCTTTTTATTTTATTTTATTACTATAAATATATTTGATATGTCAACAAATCCTGAAGTTTATTTATGGGCATGGTCATATTTATTAGGCTGTGTTTGATTAAAGGAGGTTGTTTCTATGTTGAATAAAATTATAAAGCATGGTACCCACAATACATAATGGAGTATATAAATTAACATGATAAGATTTGTTTTAATAGAATATGAATACAATATATAGACCGAAAATATATGATAATAGTTTATATTATATTCCTTCAGTCCAATTTCTATTGTTTTAAAGTATATTGGCATGGTTTTAGGTAATTGTTTTTTTATAAATTGACAAATTTATCCTTTATAATAACCCGAAGATTAAAAAGTGTAAATGAATGAAGGGTAAAAAAATAAAATTTGTGTTAAAAAAATAGAATAATAGTTATTGGATGTCCCATTAGATTGTGGACGGGGAGAGTACATATTATTATTGAACTCAACACGAGGATATATTATGTACCATAAAGTATGTTGAATTGTGTTATTATAATTATGAATGTTTTATTTTTATTATTTGATTTGATCTTTATTCAAGAGTTTGATATATTTTTTACTCCCTCGTTAAGTAACAATAGAAGTTTGTTTGTTTAGTGTTATAATTGAAAGATTTATATATATATATATACACACACGAGGTATATAGATTCGTATTAGTACTATAAAAAGTAATATTTTATATTATAGGTTAATTTTTGTAAAATAATGAAATATAGTATATATTAAAATTCGTGTTGAAATAAAAATGTTAGACAAACACACGCTTTCTTAACTGCATTTATTATTAGATGTATGTCTTTACAACTTGAAGTTTCTTTAGTGTGTACAAACTATATACCAAGTATCAAAATCTTACTATTATTATTTCACAAATTATTTGTATTGACGAGAGCTGTATCTATGTGTGTTATAGTGATAATTAATGAGGTCATGAAATTCTAAGCACGAAGTCAGCAGCATAGACAGACAGGCAGTAGGGGGGTGTTGGGGAGACTTTGTCAAAGTCAATACCACGTCAGCCTTGTAGGTCAACAACCTTTTGATGGATACCTCTAATAAAGATCTAATAATAATAATAATAATAATAATAATAATACAAGTGCATGATTAGTTTTTTTTTTTTTTTTTTAATATTAATTATCCTTTCCTGGCCCTTTTTTATGCTTTATGACTTAGACAGAAATTGATCAAGTAATGTCTCTTTATCAGTTTCCTGGTTGGCATTGTGATTTTGACCCCATCACCTCCCATTTTTGTTATATTGTGTTATTTTATTTTATTTAAATAAAAAATAAAAATAAACATTGCATTTATTATTTTTTATAATAACCAGGTTGAACATCTTTCATTGTATATTGAGATGAATAATGTGAAAATAGCAACTAATAAATAGTAAATTGAATATTTGTGTAAAAAAAGAGAGAATTTTTAGACACTATTTTATTATTTTTTTAAAAAGGAAAATACTTAATTTAATATTTTTAAAATAATATATTACTGTAGTTGGTATCTTATTTTGATTTGGTGCTTTAGGTTATTATAATATTTTCATTTTTTTTAATATTATATGTAAAACTAGCGTGTATATATAAATACAAAAAAAATAAAATTTCACTAGTTTGGTTGTCATTTAAGATTCAAAGCATGAAATTGTTTGGTTTGTGTCTTGATTTTTAAGTTTTTATTGGAATTTTAATTTAAATAATATTTTTATATATTATTTAATTTTTTTTAATTGAAAATTGTACGATTAAATAGTAAAAAAGTATTGAAGAGCAAAACCAAACACACTATAATGTTCTTTTTTATTGTTATTTTATTTTACTATGTGATGTTTATTATTTTTTTTTAAAAAAAAATTAATAATAATAGATATTACTATATCACTCAGTGTCTGAATGCAATAAATGCAGAGTAGGGCAAGTTCGGGGACTCCCACATATACAAGCAATCTTGAATGGGAGTCAACATATCACTGCAGCCGTCCGATGATCGGCTGGGAAGATTGGACGGTGGATAGCGCAATTAATGATCCTACACGGGTTAGGCTTCTTCACCCTCATTAAATACATCCCCGAAATTACATTTTCATCCATAACATTTTTATTTTTTTAAGTTACAATTTATTTATATTTTATTTGATTTTATAAATAAATCATTCTAGTGTGACGTTGAAATAAAGAATTGTGAAACAGCTAATCAGGACATTTTTTTTAAAAAATAAAACCCAATGATTCGTTATTTGAAGTGGACGTAGACTCGAGTCAAGTCTTCAATTTCTTATCTCTATTTTCAATTTGTTATAATTTCGTTCTATGAATTGTCTTCTTTAGTATTATTTATGTTTGCTTAAATTACGCCAGTTATATCATAGAGTACAAGTTTTTGATAAATAGAGTATTATATTGATAATGTGATATATATATATATATTTTGAAAAGTATATTGAAGTGAATTTTTTATTTTTTATTTTTACAGATTGAATATGTAAGTAATTGCGATATTTTTGTAAAACTTATTTACTATAAAAAAAAATACAAGGAGTACATAAATTTGACAACAGAAATATTAGATAACGTTCTATTGCACTTATTTTGCAGTGTGGCTGAAAGTTTTGTTGAAATCGAAAAAATAGATTTTTTATTATTTTAAATGAAATTGTTTGTAAAAATATGTATTTGAACATATTCAGGTAATATAAAAATATTAATTTGATAAAGACTAATCAAATTTGAATCAACGGCCATCTATATAATCAATAACATAGTTATATTACACTAAATTAAAAATGAAAAAAGAAATAAAAGAGAAAGAGTAGCCCCTTATTATAATACCTGATAATATAAATTAACTACAATAATTATATACAAAATAAATAAAAATAAAGAAAAGCAGTAATAACTCTAAATTATAAAGGAACAATATCACGCCGTCGTAGCATGCCACGCTCAATCTCATTGAATTTCCCATTTTGCCCCTAACGATCACCACGAAATCAACTGAAGTGCTGTGAAATTACGAATGACTCCCTAATACGTAACTTTCCAGCGTCGGAAAGCTATAGAAGTTCGGGAAATCAATCGCCGCGGCGGTGGCGCCGCCGTCAGCCACCGCGACGAACTGAGGCAGCGGTTGCTCCACCGCCGATGAAGCCAAGCCGTCCAGAAAAAACGTCGACGTATCGAGCACGCTACCCTGCTGAAATCCCCTGACTGCTCTATGCGCCTCAGGCTTCAGCACCGGCGCCATCGGCGGCTGTCCGTACAAACCGCCGCCGAACTTCACGCCGGTCATCTGCTGCACCATCTGCCGGAAGTTCTCCGGATCCACGGCGAAAAACGTCGTAGTTGAACGCTTCGACGGTCGAGACTTGCGCTTGGCGACTCTACCGCTCGGAGGTGCGCTGCGGCGCTGCTTCGAGACAGCGACGGTTTCCTTCTCCGATGCACCGGAATCAGTCGGAGTCTGAATCGGCGGTACCTCCGGTTTCGCGAAAATTGGCTCCGCCATTTCAGAAAATGCGTCGATGTCGGAGGAATCAGCGCCAAGCGACTCCTGTAGAGCCTTCGTGAGAACGTCGGTTTCTCTAGCGAAGTTATCGGAAATCCAACCGTCGGAAAATGCACTGTGGAATGACCACGGTTGCTCCGCCGTAATCAAATTATCATACGCCATTTTCTCCGATCAAACACCAAACACAGCAAAATCAAATGCGATATCTCCAATAAATTAACGTAACAAACAAAATAATCAAGCAAAAATTGCAGTAAAAAATCTTCCTCCGCAAGCACCGCCAATTAAGCCAGGAAATTGCAGAAGAACAAATTGCAGAGCAGAGAGGTAAAAATGAGAGAATATAAATTGAAAGGAAAGAGTGTATATATATATGTGAAAGACGGGGGGCAAAGTGCAAATAAAATAGACGGTGGAGATGAAAGCCACCACGTGCCCTGGGTCACGTGTCGATACATCTAGTGAAAATAATGGAGTATGTAATACTAATAATTTTATTAGTATTATTATTTATTGAGAATCCAATTTATTGAGCCAATTAAGCCAGCCAGCCAGCCAGCGAAGGTAGCCAGCCGCGGGCTTTTGACGGTGGAGCTGTGGCTCTGTCGGCTGACGTTTAACTTGGCGGTTAAAGGACGGATCGATCAACGGTGTAGATCCATACAATTAAGAAATGAACGGCGCAGATCATATAATTAGCGGCGTGGATTAATACACCTTCAAATTAAGTAAAACAATTTTAATTAAATATATTAATAATAATCATAAAATATATTAGTAAAATAATTCAATTAAAATTATAAAATTATTAATTATAAAATTTAAAATATATAGTAATTGAAAAAATAATAGAAACAGTAGACTTAAAAGAATAAAAAAAAAAAAAATTGTATTTTTTTCCTTCAATGTTTTACGCCTACAGATCTTTCAAAACGATCCCAAAAAACGAAAAAGAATTACACAATATTTCGCGTTAAAGAGAGTGGAGGCATTCTTCCAGAAAAAAAACTCACGCAGTGGACTATCTTTCGAAACTGAAATTTCGATACAAAATCGATTGGGCCTGTTGCGGCGAAGCACAATCCCGGCCGCGTCGCTCACTTCTTCGCCAAACCCAGCTCCGCCGCCCGCCGCCCTGCTCTCCTTCTTCTTCTTCTTCTCCAAGCACCACGGGTGCCGGCCTGTCTCCTCCGTCCTGCGGTGTCTTCCGCCACAACCCTGCTGGCCCTTTTCTTCTTCTAAAAAACGTGCGAAAAGAGGTTTGTATTTCGTTCTCTTTCTTCCCCAAAAACTTAAATTCGCTGGTTGAATGTTCTATAGAAGTGAATTGTTGGGCAATTTTTTCTTTTCTTTTTTTATTTCGTTGATATTTTAACGAAATTAGGGTTCGACACAGAAAGTTTCGCTGTTTGTATTTCTTTCTCTTTTTCTACATAAACACGCCGTGTTGTGTTTAGACAAAATTCGACAGAAGGATGATAAAAACAGAGCCGCTGCGATGATTTGAAAACTACCATTGATGGATTTAAAATTTAAATTGGACACGTCATTAACACATGTGAAATGGAAGCTTTTACTAGCCTGCACCATTGTGTAGCTCAATTGTCCGAAATTTGGGTCTACAGTTTTCTCAAATCGAATCCATTTGTTTCTGGTCTTGCTTCGTTATCGTCGTCGTTTTTGGTCTTTCAGTCGTTCTCTTCTTCTACGTTTTCAGTAAGTCAGCTCTTATTCCAATTTCGAGTTATACGCTGTTATCAAAATCTGCGGTATTTAGGGTTTTTTATGTTAGTTACTTAGTTTTAATCAATTGTGTTCATTATAAATTGATTAGAAGGGTTGAACTTTATTGGTGTAGTTTTTGTTTGTTTTGTGCATTCTTTCATGGATTGTAGGGTTCACTCTCTGCTCTTTTGTTGGAGCTGGTTTAGGTACTTACTGGATTAGTTCCAATCTTATACATTTTCGTGAGATTTCTAAAGCATATATTGAATGAAAACAGTGGAAATGAGGCTTTGTTGAGCTCAGAGCTCTGATTTGTTGGCTTTGGATGAGATAGACTAACATTGATTTTTATTTTGATAATAATATGGTCGATAATAAACTTCAATTTGAATGCTGCTTTGTATGTTTATTTTTGGACTTTAGAGTTGGAAGAATATATAATTGGTGGTCTGAACTGCACGGAGTCTAATATCTGTGCTATGGTTGTATACTGATTCTGATTAATGGGCTATGAATTGCACTGAATGTCGAAAGAGAAACCAAACCGGAAAGATCTCAATTGTGTATTTTGCAGGTAAAGTGTAGGAATTTGCATTTTTTGGGGAAGTTAGAAGATGAGGTCTGGATCTTTTCTAACTCGGAAATGGGTTGACAGTATTATTTGGGGAAGCAGGAGCAGTAAGCTATACTGTACGGACCACAGTTCTAGAGTCAAAATCTTCGACCGCGACCTCAAGCGCAAACAAGTGCTGTCCTTTGCATAATGTTTCTGTTGTGAATTTCTCTTTTTTTGTGTTTATCTTTTTCATCATTATTTTTCAGTGTCAGTGCGGTGTGGATCCTATGTTTTATTTTTATTTTTATGGGTGCTACTTGTAGCGTGATAGAGCTGCTTGGTTAATGCACCCCAAGGACTCTTTAACAGATGCAGTGGCTGAAAATTTGCTGGATCGATTGGAGGTCAGTGGTCACTTTTTACTTTGTTCTCTTTCATTTCATCTAATATACTGTCAATCTTTTGTATGAAGTTCAAACTTTTCGATTCTGTTGGTACACCAAAACGGCACCTCCTATACACTAGTGTTGTGTTGTTAAAAAAGTTGGAAATAGATCAAATTAAAGACACAAACTACCTGTTCACATATATGAAGTTTGCATGGAATTACTACTTGAAAAAATCAATCTTAATCCTATTAATTAAGAAAATCATAACCATCCTAATGATAGAATCTCTACAGGTTCTATTAGATATTTATAGATACTATACTAATATATATGAAAGTTCTACAATAATCTAGCAGCAGTCATCATTGTAAGTATTATATATTAATTCCTCAAAAGGTGCTATCCCTTATATGATGTTATATTATTAGGAGTGTCTTATCCATCCTTAGTTGGACTTGAACAATGTGCGGCTTTTGGAATGCTACTTATATATTGTTGTACAGCATCTTATTATGCTTGCTACTTTTTTTCTCTATGTTGTGAAGGACTATGGTTCTGAGGTATGCCTTTAAGATTTTATTGTAGCTCTTTTATTCTTTTAGGATTGTAAAAAGACGTTCCCTACTACATTGTGCATGGGGGGTTCTTTGGAAGCAATTAGGCGCCTTTTGCCTGGACACGGTAAGATTTGATTTATTCCACTTATTTCTTATTAAATCTAACCCTATCTAATACTATATTAGAATTTAGATGCTTAGAAATTGATCATGCGCCGATGTTGGAAGAACTAGCTGGCAAGTATATCAAATGCACTGTCGGACACAAATTAATCTAATCAACAAGTACAAACATAGAGCTGCCTAGCAATAACATTAGGCACCATCCCTGAGATTGTACGCTTACTATGTTTCTAGTGGTAACTGCTTTTTTTTTTTTTGTCCTTTCAGGTGGCATTGAAAAGCTTGTTATGATGGATACTTCATATGACATGGTGAAAATGTGTGAACAAGCTGAACGAAGTTCGCCAAACAAAACTATTGAAACATCATTTGTTGTTGCTGATGAAGAGTTTTTACCAATCAAGGAAAGGCATGCATGAATATTAGCATCTTATCATAAAAACTAAATAAAAATGAAATAAAGGATGCTAATGAGAACTGCATTTTGTTTATGTTTAGCTCTTTGGACCTGGTTATCAGTTGCTTGGGACTTCACTGGACAAATGATCTTCCCGGAGCCATGATACAGGTTTGTGTGACGACTTGGTGTTTTTAGGAAATATGTTCTCTTCCTTTTTTTCTTTAATTAAAAAAAAAAAAAATTGTTTTTTTATTGATTGTGATGGATTAGTAAATTTAGTCTTCTAGTTATTAAATGAATGACCCTTTTCTTATTTTCTCGTGGCAGAGTAGATTGGCTTTGAAGCCTGATGGCCTATTTCTGGCGGCTATTCTTGGTGGAGAAACATTGAGGTTATGTTTTTGAGTTTCTATGTGCAGCTGTTGACTCTTTATGCATTATGAAAAGCTCAATTGACAGTATTTATGCCTCAGAGAGCTTAGAATAGCATGCACAGTAGCACAAATGGAACGTGAAGGGGGCATTAGTCCTCGGTTGTCGCCATTAGCACAGGTATTTCTTTACCAATTGCATGCTGTTGGCTTTTTATATTCTTCCTTCACAGTGATTTTTTCTATCGACTAATGAAGTACTCTAATGAATATTTTTAATATCACTTTTAGTAGAGTGAGAGTGCAAGGTCTGTTTCTTATTTATGGATGCAACGAAAGTTGATGAAAATTATAGTCTTCATAATTAAGGCTTTTGTCTTTTAAGTGGGTTCCATGCTGATGGTTCTAATCTTCTGTTAGTTTAAAATCTTAAAGTGAATGTAAACAATTAGGATAATTTAGAGAGAAAATTTTGACTTAGTTTATTATACATCCAAATTTTCTAGAAGACTGACCATAGTAACTCAATTCACTTGAGTACTTGTACTGTTGTGTTATAGCTGTGCTATGTATCATGTACACACTGAATTTTTTTTCTTCATAATATTACATTATATATATAGTATTTTGTTAATACATCCTCAATTTGGTCTTATAGGTACGTGATGCAGGGAATTTGTTAACTAGGGCAGGCTTTAGTCTTCCCGGAGTTGATGTAGACGAATACATTGTGAGATATGACAGTGGTATGCAATTCACATTCCTCTTTCATATATTATAGCTAATTCATATTAAAAGTGATGCAATGTGATAACTAAAATTCAAACTGAAAGAACTAATAACAATTTGGAATTTTCAGCTGCTTTTGCAGGACTTTTTATGTGCATGGCAGTGCAACCTTATTTTTCTCTGTTTTGAACTTTTAATTCCTTGAGTGTTGGCTTCTTACACATAATATCTTTTCCTTGATCTTGAAATTAATTGTATCTTTTTTCTCTTTCATTTTTCCAAGAAATGATTTCAAATCTATGGATTGTCTTGAACATTTAGCTTACCACATTATATATTAGTATCTCTTGAATTATCACAATATGTGAATGCCTTTTTTCCGTTTATTCTGTTTAGTGTATGGTATGCTGCAGCTGTGTAGAGATACCCTCCCTCTCTCCGTAATTCTAGATTAGTCCATAATTATGTGTTAAAGTTTTTTCCCAAGGATGAAACTCTCTAGAAACTTGTACAATGTATATTATGTAGAAAACTCTAGAAGCATTATGTAGGAATTTTCCATAGATGCTTATAATTTTGTTTCACAAAAAAAAAAAAAAATAAAAAAAAGGGACATAATGCAATTGAACTAATGATAAATCAAAAACAGTGTGTGAATTATTTTCTCAATGTTGCGTGTTTCTGTTTTGGAAAATTCTACTTAATGTTAACTCTTTCCTTCATGTTAGCTCTGGAGCTGATAGAACATCTACGAGTGATGGGTGAAACAAATGCCTTGTTTCAAAAGAGCAGAGTTAGTAATACTTGATTACTGCTAAGTCTTTCTTGTTTATCTTTATCTTTCTTTCTTTTTATTTTTTAAAAAAGAACTTTTCTCAAATGTAAAATCATCCCATTGTTTTATAAAATTTATGCCATCTTCCTTCTCAAATATAAATACTTATTGTCAACCAGGTTTTGAAGAGGGATACTGCTTTGGCGACTGCAGCTATTTATGAATCAATGTTTGGTGAGGAAGACGGTACCATCCCTGCAACTTTCCAGGTGTTGTGGTTTGATTCCTTAACCTTCATTGCCCTGCTACAAGTTCATTTGCAGAATCCTCATGGCTATTTGCAACCATTTTTAGGTGATTTATATGACTGGATGGAGGGAGCACCCATCCCAACAAAAAGCAAAGAGGAGAGGCTCTGCTACAGTATCCTTCCAGGATATTCAAAAGCATTTTGGTGGAGGGACGGAAAATTAAAGCCAAGAGAAAGGTACCATTCCTAAACCCTACCTTCCATACATTTGGAGATAGAAATGATTTTACACCTCAAGCGCTAGAATTGGATCTGGATTATCAGTAGATTTGTCTGACACTATGCTGTCCTGTTGTCATGATCATAATTATAACTTATAGACTACTTATTCTAAACCCTAAACCCTGACTCTACTTTTAAACAATTTCTAATAGCTACATAGAAAACACCCTTTCTTTATTGCCCATATTCTTTCTTACAGTGAATGGATGGTGGATGAATTCTGAAATGGGATTTGGAGTTGATTGGTTTTTCAAGAATTTTCCCCAGCAGTAGTTGAAGTTTCCTTCCTATGGCAACAAAGTTGTCAAGCCCACTGAAATTTGGTATGGCTTGAAGAGTTTGTACCTTAGTTGAATGAAAGATCTCATGTGTAGATAATTCATTGACATATCTCATATTTTGTTCCCTTGAAATTGAATGAAACCTTCTGCCAAGTTCACGGGAGAACTATTTCCTCAACCTATAACTTGTGGTTTTAAGGAAGTATAGAGCAACTATGTATTTTGAGAGATAACATGAAGATGAAGATACCTCGACATCAAATAAGATTATTATCATTTTTTACCTTGGGTCAGTCCAACACCTTGCTTTTCACAATGTAAAGTCACTCCTAGATTGTAGACATTTTAGTAGCTTGCTGCCAGAGACAACTCCTTGCACTTCTTTGATATTTATGTTTCGTCAATCTCCAACAATCATCGTGGTAATGGGAACATTGTATGAATTCAAGAACCAACATAGTTTCAAAAATTCCTTGTCCTTGAATCCATACAATGTGTCATCATTGTCAGATGATGATTGTTGGAGATTGATGAAACTACGGGCTTTTTAAATCATAGAAGAAAATGGAACTCTTTAATCAATAAAAATGGATATAGCAAAAAAAGATACTGAAACGATTGTCTTTGGCAACCAAGCTACATGGAAGTGTATTGAAAAGTACGTCTACGAATTGAGTGTTTCTGAATTGTATTGAAAATAGCAGCAAGTGGCGGGACTCGCCACATGGTAAAAGTGGTATTCTTTGAGGTTGAGCTATCTTCATCATCTTGCTAATTTCAAAATTTTGTTTTGCTTATTGCTCAATGTTTTCTCAAATTGCAGGTTTGAAGTTTGAGAAATTGGAATCTTCCCTAAATAAGTTAAGAGATTGTAGGATATATGCAAGGATTATTTCAATTATCTGTACATAAAGATCTTTCCATTGACAAAGTTAAGCTTGATATAGAATTAAAAAGAATAATGTACGAAAATAAACAAGGCGGCAATACCGTCTTATAGAACATACATAATTATGTGTCTTTTAATCTTTTGATTACATGAAACCTTATTATGTATCTTAAAATTACTTCAGACCTTATTAAGGGCCATAATATAGTCCTCATTTTCTTCGATTCGTAAGGTTTCTTTTTTTGTGTTCTCAATTTAAGGACATATCTTACTTTTTTCAGATCCACCATAGAAGATGTAAGTTCCCCAGTTAGCATCATTGGTGGATGTCAATTGTATGTTATAGCAATTTGGTGCTTCGGCAAGCACAGTAAGATTGTTTTCGTCACATAATTCTGATAAGCACCTGTATATTTTTATGTATGCTGCTTTCTTGTACCCTTTTAAAGCATAAAGACCACTGCCCATTTGGGTTGTGGTGTGCCCTGAGGATGGTGCCCGAATAGTAAAAATTTCTCCCCCAAAATCTACTGTTGTGGCTGCACCATCCTTTAAATATGTGATAGATCTGATGGCCAGTAACCCACAGTTGCCCCGTTTATCTCCAGCCACCATACGTCTACACCTGCCGTATCGTAAAATCTTATGAGGTTAGAATTATTTAAAAATGTACTTTAAAGTTTATTAAAAAGTGTGTTTTGAGTGTGTATGACCTACCGATGTTTATATGCTATTAGAAGTACACTCGTATTTATAGAATTAGAGCTTTTTAATATAGAATTCAATCTTATTAAAAGCTTTAAAAAAAATGATAACAATAAATGAATAAGATAAGGCTTCTATTCATTATTGTGAAACATGATAATGTTCTTCGAAGAATTATACTTGAGTAGTAGTCATTGTTGCGAGTCTTAACCTTCGTCTGCTTGTAGGTATACTATTTATAATTTAATTCTCGTCATATGTAGGGTTTTCTCCCGTTTATTTTCTTTTTAATTGCTTCCGTATTGTTCTTAATTATTCCTATATTCCGAGACCAAAAATAGGGAAAAAAAAAAATCATTGTTGGAAATCTCGAACGTGTATAATATTTGCCTAAATGCACGGTGTCAATGAATAGAGGATTTTAAGAATTCACTATAAAGTGAAATCTCATGTTCGAGACAAGTGGTGTTTTGAAGGAAAAGCCAGCCAGCCAAGGTCGTAACTGTTGAATATATATATATATACACATTTATTATCATCTTGTATTGTTTGTGGCTATGTTAAGTTATGTACTAATGTTATGCTGAAGAGGATTTTGAGTTGGTTTGATTCGTTAAATTTTGTCTGTCCAGGTTGCTTAGCTGCTTTGGATTAAATTTTGTAGTTTTTATTATGTCTTGAATATTGGGCTGTAAAGACAATGTTCCTCCTTTAGTATGTATGTACGGATGCCTGGCTGAGCGTGGGGTGGGATTTTTAATATTGTCCGGACATGTCGGTGATGGGCAAACAGAATGTTTGATAGCACGTAGGTTTTGATTTTGGGCATCATATGGGCCTGTTGGAGATTAACCGACAGACTCTGATGTTGGAAATGAGCATACACCAATTCAGATGTGGGCGTGTTGTATATATGGGCCTGTCAGAAATAAACTGACAACATGTGAGTCAATATTTGGGCCTGTCGGAATGGGCCTACAACAGTGCGATCTCACGTGTGACTGTCGGAAATGGGCATGTTGGAAATGACACTGTGAGCCTGATTTTAGCCTGTCGGGATGGGCTGACACAATGTGGTAATTGGGCCGAGAACATATGAGTTCTCAGTTCAGGTCTATAGGCATAATTTGATGGTGAACTGGGCCGTTAAGGCCATCCAAAATAACACGGGCCTGTCTGATGTGGGCCGACATGATATCTGATAGAAGATGGGCCTGATGGAAAAGAGCCGACAACATGTTATTGTGATTTGGGTCTATCGGAAAATGGGTTGTCAACATGTAAGATATAAGATGGACCTGATCGAAATGGGCCGACACCGTGTGAGCATGATCTGGGTATGTCGGCAATGGGCTGACACAATGTAAGACACGTTTTGGGTCTATTGTAATTGGGCCGAGAGCATATGGGTTCTCAGATCAGGTCTATAGGCCCAATTTGATGATGAAACTGGGCCGCTAAGGCCATCCCAAATAACACGGGCCTATATGATATGGGCCGACATGATCTCTGTAGAAGTTGGGCCTGATTAAAAAGGGCCGACAGCATGTTATTGTGATTTGGGCCTGTCGGAAAATGGGCTGTCAACATGTAAGATATGAGATGGGTCTGTTGGAAATGGGCCGACACCGTGTGAGCATGATCTGGGTCTGTCGGCAATGGGCTGACACAATGTAAGACACATTTTGTTCCTTTTGTAATTGGGCCGAAAACATATGGTTTTGCAGTTTGGGTCTACGGGCCCAGTTTGATGATGAAATTGGGACGTTAAGGCCATCTAAGATAACATGGGCCTGTCTGATATGGGCCGACATGATTTTGGTAGATAATTGGGCTTGTTGGAAATAGGCAGACAACATGTGAGATATGAGTTGGACCTGTCCGAAATGGGCCAACACCATATGAACATGATTTGGGCCAGTTTGCAATGGGCTGACACAATGTGACACGATTTGAGCCTATTGTAATTGGGCTGAAAACATATAGTTTCACGGTGGGTCTATTGGCCCAGTTTGATGGTGAAACTGGGCTGTAATAACACTGGCCTGACAGATATGGGCCGACATGATGCTGATGTCTTTGGGCCCTGTCGGAAATGAATGGACAGCATGTTAAGTAGTGATTTGGGCCCGTTGGAATTGGGCTGATAAGTGATTTATGAGTTGGGCCTGTTGGAAATGGACTAACAACATGTTATTTCACGTTTTGGGCTTCTGGGCCCAAGTGTAAGGTAGTTATGGGCCGTTTAGGCCTTTTGGCCAAAACATGGGCTTGTCAGAGATGGGATAACCTGATGTCTCACATATTGTTTGCCTGTCCAAAATTGGGCTGACAATACAGGAGACATATTTGGGCCTGTCGGATATCACATGGGCCGTCGTAGATACGCCGACAGGACGTCTAATAGCACATGGGCCTGTCGACAATTAGCGTTCAACACTTGTTTTCGGATTATTTGGTTGTCTGGGTCGTAAACTTTTTAAAGTTACGATCAAATTGGTCTATTATTGGCTTGAGCCCAAAAATAAAAATAAATTAAAAAAAAAAAACAACATAAATAAATTAAGCACAATATTAATTCTGGATGTTATTTATGATATTTCACACACAATCTTTACTTTATGATATTAACATGCCTATCAAGTATATACAAGAATCGCCATGAATCTTATCCTAAATGAATTAAGCAGATATCAAGAGATCCAAGACATGCTTAATCTTCTAACATATATCAATTGTTTCTTCATGCCTATTTGATAAAGCACAAGTTAATAGAATGGCATAAATGAGCAGAAGGCAAGTTGCAATTTCAAATATAAATCCAATGAAAAATATGATATAGCATTCCACACCATAATGCATTATGGTTGCTATGTATCACACGATTTCACACAACAGAGCAACTTAACCTATATCTGTAGCAAATCCCCAGTCTAAAACCCCATCCATACCACCATAGGAAACATATCCACAAACATCAAAAATCAATTTCATCTTATAAATCCCTTTTCCTTCTATAAAGAGAATGCCAACAAACAATTCATTAAATCACGGTGGCATGCATGCTCTATTATACACAAATTACTCATGAATTTTCTATGTCAGGCAACAAAAGAAACACATAATGGTAAGTAATAATAATGTGTGCATGCATACGTATATTGAGATGCATTAATTTCAGAATCTCCATTGGTTCAATTAAATTATGGGAATAAGACTTATTTTCCAAATAAGTAAAATAACAATGTTACAACTTTAAAGTGGGAGCCCTTTTCTCAAAATATAAACAGTAGGGGTGGCCATGTTCACTAAAGATATCAAATTCAGATATACTTTAAAGTCTTTTTAAATAAATACACATGTTTACGCTTTACAAAAAGCCTTTTTGGCCTGTTTATATATTTATATATACCTTTTTGTATCTAATATATACAAATATTATATTTTTATTTCTTTATAAATCATAAAATATTATATTTGGTGACAATAAAAATTTATAAAAATTAGTTTATTTTAACTGACTTATTATATATAATAAATAGTTGTATTTTTTTACAAATATTAAGTTTAAAAATATAAAAAATTAAAAAATATTATGGAGATTTTAAATAGGCTCGTAGGCCAGACTCAGGCCTTAGAGATATATTTAACCGGCCGATAGGCCAGACTCAAATTTAACTTTATGAAATAGGCCTGGCCTATTTAGCCAAAACCTGACCTAGCCTATTTCCACCCCTAATAAACAAAACAAAATTGAAGGATTATGCCTAAAGAACCCAGAAGAGTGCAAACCTCCATTATTTTAAGCATGTCCTTTAACTTTTCATGGCGATGCCTTCATGCATTATCATCTCCATCTCCTAATTCTTGAGCAGTAAATTTGTCACTTTCAGCCACAAGGATCCCATTGCAGCTTTCACAGTGGAAGTAATCATCATATGGTGTAACCAACTTGAGTGCATCAAGAGCTGTATATCTGAAAGTTCATTGAAATTGCTCAGAGCCTTCTAATTAGCCTATGAATAAAATAGGTTCAAATGAAAAAATATATATATTATATATACACTATTAAAATCATTTATCTCTTACTGCAATTGGGGCAAATGTACTCCTGAAACCAATATAGGGTAATCATAAACACAAATATACATCCAGACAAGACCAGGTATGTATGAACCTGCTGAATGGGGGGGATATCACATTGGCACAAACAGGACACTCGAGTAGTTCAAGCACGAGTATTTGAAGCCATACCAGGATTTGCACCGTAAAATGTTGAAAATTTGCCAGCTAATTTGTTGATGGAAAATCAAACAAAATCAGTTAATTAAGGCACCTTATCACCTCCCTAATCAGGAAATATAAAGACCTTTAATTTTCCATCAATCCAAAGGTAATAATACAGTGTTTAGTAAAATCCAATTCCAAAGGCCTGCCACACAAACCATGATTTAAGAATGAGTTGTGAAAGAATTACAATCACATTAAAATCATTCAAATGGAGAACTAAAATGAAAAGCCAAATTATTTATGCTATCAAACTAAATTTTTATAACCTGCAGAAAGTCCAAATTTATGTATAGGTTAAAAAAAAAAAAAAAACATGTATGTATAGGCTAGACAGCATTGAGCATATATAGCCAAATCAGAATTCTGAGTATCAACAATCAACACTGAATGCAAAAGGACTTGGAGAAGTAAATGTAATTTGAACTGTTGTGTTTAAATAATGACCTTTCACAGCATTCCAGAACTGATCTGCAAGACTGTTTTGTTGAGCTTTTGACAGATCTTAGGGATATTTTTCATGCTTGAATATGTTAAAAGTGACTTCATGTCAATAATCCAAATTACACATGCTGCACCCTATTGAAAGTAGTAGTAGAACTGTAGAAGTGATTTATGCATTCAGACAGTGTGGTTATAAACAAGGTGCAAGAAGCGCTGAAGCAGCAATAAAATAAGCATGCTAAAATTGTAAAGGCAAAACAAGCTATTAGATTTATGGTCCCCCACTAAAGACTATATATATATATATATATATATATATAAATCTTAATTTTAAAATGAAGAAACAACTGAATCTGAATATTATAGAAAACCCGGAATACAATTTGTATATAAGATAATGTTCGGCATAAAAAATAAGTGATTACCAGTGTGAAGTTGGAATGTCTTCAAGGACTTTCTAAATTCAAGTTAGTTGATCCTTGATCACACAACTCATTGCTCTGCAACGGCAACTGGTACAAAAACAAAACAACATAAACAACATATGAATTTGTTGATGAAATGTATTTTTACAGCAATCAATTGTAAAGGAAAGCCATTAGTGCACAAACAAATTCCTAATGTTAGACAAAGAGAAAGGACCAAAAAAAAAAACAGAAGACCACAAAATCGATCAGCGGATAAAACAAGTGACTTTGTCAGTACTGAAAGAAGACCGACCAAATACATGGGGAGAAGATCGACTTCATAGTTGGGAAATAAACACAGCAACATAACCTGGACATTGCAAACCCTAGCTTAGGTCCATCTGATGGTCTCCACTTTTAGGCAACATTTCATTCAAGCCTTTTGCTTCTTCCTATCCCAACAACACACACAATCAGGGGCGGACCGAGGTGGGGGCAAGGGTGGGCTGCAGCCCCCCTCCCCATCCCACCCCAGTTTTTCTTTTTACTTATTTAAATTTATGTATTTTTTTATTTAAATATATGTAATATAGAGAAAATGGATAAATAAAAAAATATTAAAAATTTGTATATCTTGTTTGAATAAAAAGGAATACAAAAAGAAATATTTATAATACAGCTTATAACTATTATTATTGTTATAGTCCGTTATTTGTATTTATTTCCTTCAAAATATAATAATCACAATGATAATTTTTTCGATAACAAATAAATATTTATAAATAAAATATATTATTTTATAAATTTCAAAATTAGCCCCCCTCGAATATAATCCTAGGTCCGCCGCTACACACAGTCACACCTTAACTTTTCCCTCTATTCTGAATACCCTTCCTTTATGTGTTTTTTCTTCCCAAGATTCGAAAACAGAAGCCTTCTGCAAAACCAAACATCTAATCCATCTATCTATCTATCTATCTCTTGAGCTCTAAATTCAGGCAACACAAAGGCATCATGAAACCATAAACTATAATCCAAAGGCATCATAACAATAGAAAGGAAACGATCAGTACTTTCACGATCCTCAGGAAATTCTAATCGAAAAAGTAAATCCAATTTCACCACAATATAGGTTTTCTCAAACGCAGGATCAATCAGAGACGCAGGGAGCGATACCTTTTTCCACTCATCGGGAACGAGAGATTGATCGATCGATCAGGCTGGTCTAGGTTTTGGAAATCAATCAGGCCACCGTTGCCGTGGTCCAGCCACGCTTCTCTCGCGCATTTCTCTGTCATCATCCTTCATCACCAACACACTGTCCCCAGTCAGGGTTGGCCTTCTCTGGAAACACCATCTGAAACATATGAATCTGAAACCATCAAATGCGTGAATCGATTATTGGTTTTATTTTTTAGATATGAAACGAAGCCCCAAATCCAGAGCACAAATTGAAATTGAACAGATTGAATCGAAAATGAAAATCGGAACCTAAAACTCGCAGATCAAACAACATAAGGAAATGGATGAACCGAAAAACAAACAAAATCAACATCGAGAATCTTACCTTATCCAGAATCGGAGTGGAGAGAATCGGTGTCGCCGGCGATTTTGTGGACATGGATTATGAATCTATTTGTAGGATTTAACAGAAAGAAAGGACAGAAGACCGAGAAGAAATCGACCTTTGAGCGAGAAGAGGAAGATGGGAAGCGGCCATGGAGGCGGCGTCGGAGGAGGGAGGAATTATGATCAGCTTTGTTGTGTGAGCGTAGGGTTTATTTTGTTAGAGAGAAAGTAATCGTAATTTGGTGACAAATGAGGGATAAAATAGGGAAATTAAGTGCCATCCGTACCGCTACAGCCTACATATATAGAAGTATGCTGATTAGCCCACTGTGCTAATGAAGTATAATATATATATATATATATTAATTTAGTGCCATTGATATTTATTCAAAAAAAAAATTTAAGAAAAATATAGTTATATACTAAAACATAATACATTATAATATAAATTTAGCTATAAACAGACAAGACATATGATAATTGTCAGGACATAGGACATTACCCGTGTTTCCTAGTTTGAAAAAAAAAATTGATTTAAATTTGATATAAAAATAATATTTGATAGAATATTTTGTGAAAGAATATACTAAAACATAATACATTATTTTTTTAAATAATCGCAGAATCGAATAAATTCGGCTAAAGAAAGATACTCTAGGGTGTGTTCGTTTGATAGATTTAGACAAAATTTCACTATTCATCCAAAATTTTTTCCTCAAAAAATCAAATCAAACACCTATTTTTTATTTTTTATATTATACTGAAAATCAATTTTACATTCAAAACATCACATCAACACCTATTTATATCACAATCATACAACCATTCAAATTCAAAACTTTTACTATTCAAATCTCAACTTAAAATCCAAACCCCCAAACAAACACACCAAATAATTATAAACAGTATGTATTGAACAGTGTATTTACTAAGTAATTATAATGTGGCCTCACAGTAGAGGACAACCGAGAATGTTCGAGTCCGGGACCGACTGAAATCTCGCCGGCAAACTAGTTAGTTTCGGGCAATCTTCGATTCTTAGAGTCGTAAGACGAAGCATGCAAATAATTCCATTCGGTACCATCCAATGAATCAACTCGCTCATCCGATAGACTTCTAAAGAAATCAGCGACGGAAATTTCTCATTTCCATCGCCGTAAAAGCTCTGGCCGATATGCTCCAAAGCATTCATATCTTTTATACAAAGAGACTTGAGGAATGGTAGTCGCCCCAAAGATGGTAGCGATTTACAGTAACCAAGTCCCTGTAAGTGAATTCTCGTGAACTTCCGCCATGGATCGCTTAGCCAGTCGGGGCATTTGACGCCGCTGTAATATTTAATCTCCAATTCTTTCAGGTTTCGATGAGGTTCGAGCTGATTCAACACATGTAGTTGTTGCTCCAACTTTCGATCTTTATCTTGCGGATCGATGCCATCTTCGACCGGTCCCCAAAGCAGTTCGAGCTTGTTCAAGTGTTCCTTCATATTCATCTTTGCATTGCCGGCGTCCGTTACTTCTTGAACTTTGTCAATATTCTTGACGCATAGTGTTCCCCTGAGTGAATTCATATTTTCCAACTCTTCGATGCCGTGTCCCTTCATTCTCCTCACAATAAATGCCGATAGAGTTTGAAGATTCGTTAACTTTCCGAATTCCGGGGGCATGAATCTTAGTCGGCCTACAACGTTGAACATAAGATGCCTGAGGTCGGAAAGATTCTTCAAGTCTTTCGGCAACTCAAGAAGCGTAGGGCAGTTGCAAATAAGAAGCGTCTGCAATGCCGCGAGTTCGCATAAGGATCTCGGCAAATACTCGATCCGATTTCCACACAAATTCAGATACCGAAGATACACCAACTGGTCGACAGTGTCGGGTAGCTTATTGAGACCAATATCGCACAAGTACAATACCCTTAGAAATTTCAAGCTGTGAAAGAGCTCCGGATCAATTAGTCCCCTAGGAGAACCGCGCTTACAAACCACCATAAACGTGCGCAACCTCTCGTTCCTTATGCTTGCGCTTAAAGTCAACGCCTGCGCGGCACGATGATGCAAAGACAAGTGGCAAGCATTTCCAAACAACGGATAGAATTCCGCATTATGCTCCACTTGAAAACACACGTTGGTAGAAACTAAACGAGCCAAGTCGTGAATGAGGCCGTGCATTGTGTATATAATACGGTTTGAAGAGCTTGTACCTCGTTGAAAGAAAGATCTCATGTATAGATCGTTGAAATAATCATGCCCTATGTCCTCCAATCTCCTCTCGGCTTGAGGCCGAATAAAACCTTCAGCCATCCACAAGAGAACCAAATCCTCGACTTCAAACTCATGGTTTTGGGGGAAGATCGAGCAATACGTGAAGCATTTTTTAAGATGCATGGGAAGATGTTGATAGCTCAACATTAAAGAAGTGAGTACGCCGTTTTCATCTTGCGACGAATCCCACATATCGCTATTTGCTATCCGCAGCAACTCATTGTCCGTATATTTACACTGCAATAGGCTGCCGAGTACCTTTGCCGCTAAAGGTAAACCTTTGCACTTCTTTGCAATTTCCTTTCCTAATGATTCGAGCAATCCATTCGCTTCTATTTTGAAAGAAGCCCTTAGTTTCATCAAGCTCCAACAATCATCATCGGATAAAGGCTTCACATTATATGCTTCTGTCGAACCAACAATCCTCGAAACGATACTGCTTCGAGTAGTCACAATAACTTTACTCCCTTTCGCGGCATACCTAAACGGCGCAGACAAGACCTCCCAATCATCAACATTCTCGTTCCAATAATCATCGAGAACCAGCAAAAGCTTCCCACTCGAAAGAAGTATTTGGAGAAGCTTGCGCTGCAACGAATCCAATTCAAATACATGGAAACTTTGCTTAGTAGCAGATTCAATAATCAACTTCGTTATCCTTCGCACATCAAAGTCCACCGAAACCGAAACCCAAACAATCAGCTCGAAATCCGCAGCCGCCTCCAAGTGATCGAACACAAGCTGAGCAAGTGCCGTCTTCCCGACGCCACCCATGCCGACAAGTGCGATCACAGAAAGAGCAATTCCATCGTCGCCAAGCAATCGAAGGACATTGTCTCTGTCCTCCCGCCTTCCGACAACGGCTAATTTGTCCACCATCATACTAGACGTGTCCGAGCAATGCCTATCGATCTTTTTACACGTCCAAATGCCCTTTTTCACTGTCTCAATATCGAGAAGACTTTTAACTTCCTCGGCAAGAGCCTCCAGCTTCCTCTGCATACCGTTGACTTCATGAGGAACATAAAGTTTCAATGATTTAAGAATCATGGGAAGTGCCTGGTGAGTTTCTTGATCGCCATTGATGGAGTGTTGCCTGCGGTACATGGAGAGATCGAAAGAGACACGATCAAGAAGGGCGTCGGCGTCGTAAGCAAGCTTTTGAAGATCTTCAAACCAGATCTGCCATGCCCTGCTGCCTCCAGAGAATCTCAATGGACTTGTCTCCATATGATCCACCAGGTCCTGGATTTTCAGGTATGTCCTCTCCAGCTTTCGGAGCTCATCCTCAAACCCCATGATCAGGCCTATCTCTTTCCAGGCAAAAGACCCGAGACTTGCCACTCTTTCCAGGGCGAATTGAAGGAAAGCAGATCCGAAACCAGTCTTGAATCCGGACTTAAATGAAGAATCCCCCATTTTTTAGCTCAGACAGGTTTTTGAGGTTTTTGTCTGCTGTGTCTGAATGGATTTTGTCCAGTGGAAGGAGGAAATTGGAGAAGTCCAGAGAGAAAAGGAGCTGCCTTTGTTTGTACACTTTTTCTAGAGAGAGAAAGTGCCTTTTCCCTGTTTGACCAAGATTACCTGAATAGTGATAGAATAGAAACATCAACGAAATTACAGTCATAAGAAATTTAATTATAAAAAAAATTCATGATCAGTTGCTTTTTTAGTAAATGTGGTTTTCACGTCTGATCATTCATGGCTTCAAATTGGAGTCCAAATTGCATCAAATCATTCTCCTTGTTATCATATCATTTTTTACATCGATCAAAGAACAAATATATATATATATACACACAACACACCACAGCAAATGTCGACAGTAATCTCTCCTTTTAGCATCAAAGGAACAATCTTTTCGAGGCACATTTAGATCACATTATCCAGAAATTGTACAAAAACAAAGGAGATTTTTTGTTCCTAGGCACATCTGTAGGGTCATAATATACAGATTCTTCATTCACAAATGTATTACCTTGAAGAAGAATAGATCCTCTGGTTGTCGATGTACAGCGCCGGCACGCCAGCAACCTTACCCCAATCCTCGCCTTGTTCCTTACTGCAGCGTTCTTTCAGTTTAGGACAGTCTTTCAGCATCAGGCGCTGGAGCGACGCTGGGAGTCTACCTCTAGGCAAGTAAGGGAGCACTGGACAGTAGCATATCTCCAAATGTTGGAGGGAGATGAAATGTGAGAGTGTTGGAAGAACTGTAAGTTTCGGACAATGTTGGATCGAGAGTCGCTCTAGTCGTGGAAAGTGTCCATCTACAACGCCTGTCCATGTTTCGAGGTTGGACATCCCTTCAAGTGATAGTCTCTCAAGTTTAGGAAATGCTTGGCGATCCCGGGTAGTATGTTTCTGGCAAAACGACCTGTCTATGCGAACTAGCTCATCCATGTCGACGATGTTCAAAGACTTCAGAGACGGCAAGTCGCCTAAGGATGACAGTGTCTCACAATATCTGCACCCGTATAAAGTTATGTTCGCGATTTGAGTAAAGGATGGATCGCTTATCCACGATGGAAGTGTGCCGCCACTATAAGAGACTACTTTTAACTCCTGCAGGCCCGAATATGGTTTAAGGGATTCGAGGATTTCCACTTCTTGCGGCACCTTGGCATCTTGAAGATCACTCCATACGAATTCTAGTTTAGAAATGTCCCATTTGTCGCAAAGACGAGCCTCCCTAGCCTCGTTTGCATTCGGGATGTTCTCAAGATTCATCAAACAAAGAGACCCTTTTAGTTTGTTCATATTCTTCAACTCCCTTATCGAATTCCCATCTCTCGTACCAACAACAAAGGCCCCGAGAGTTTGTAGATTCGTCAGCTTCCCCATGCCAATCGGCATCGATTGTGACAGCTGGGAAAGATCAAGAACCAAGTGCTGTAAATTAACCAACTTGTCGATGCGCTTTGGTAATCCGCATAGGCTCAAACACTGCAGTAGTAGCAACATTTCTAAACAGCTCAAAGAGTCAATCGACTCAGGCAGATGTCTGATGGGTGTTCCCGACACATCAAGATACTTCAACATCTTCAGATTCTCGATAGACCACGGCAATTCGTCAATATTTGTGCCACTCAAATCCAAACTAGTCAAGAACTTCATCTCCAAGAAGAGATCGTGCAGCAGGTTTTGAGACTCGGATCCCGGACACTTGTGTAAAAGAAGTGTCTTCAGTTGGCTGCACTTTCGGATACTCTCGAACACACTTCGATCGATCCGCTCAAAGATCAAGGATAAGTGCTTAACTCCAGCCATATCTCTGTCGTTATCAGTACTTTTGTACAGAAACTCTGAAGGCTGCTTATTGAGGATCGAAAGCTCATCCTTCTCTATTCTATACATCATTTGATCCCTCAAGTGATCGTATCCAGACTCCGAAAGGTATTTCGAATTTACCAATTCGTCAAAGCATCGATTTGCTACTGCCTCTGTTCTGCCACTTTTCTCAGGGGTTATCAAGTCCGCCGCAATCCATGACCAAATCAAAGTGTCGCGAGAAAATTCATAATCAGCAGGAAAAAGGGAACAATAAAGCTTGCACCCCCTCATATATCTATCTTTCTCCTGTTCGGTATCAATTGATTTTCCCACGTCTGCCTCAGCACTTATTTTCTCCTGTTCTTTTGGATCAGCCGCACCACCTACATAACATTGCTCTACTCAGAACAGATTTGTGACTACAACTCGGCATTAGTTTTTTAACTAGGAAAACTTAATGATAGGGTGTTTTCGCTTTCCCTTTTTCCGTGTTCCTCTATGAACAATACAATTATGCTCAATGGCTCATTGTTCTCATTTATCAAAGTGCAATTAGGAAAACATAGAAGAAGATGATGAATCATTACCAAATGTTTCTCTCAAGGCAGTCTCCTTCGGATCAGAATCTGACGAAGAAGCATCCGTATAAAAGGCCTCACCCAATTTATTCTTCTCTGCCTGCCAAACAAGGAAGAAGGCCTTAAAAGATGAAGATGGAATACCTAAACACAGACGGGTGCAATTTCTCCATAGTTCATAAAAACTGAAGTATGGTTCACTGTTAAAATAGTTCATTTTCTTGGAAACACGTACAATAATGCGACAGTGTCTACTTTATTCCATTAACATTTTAAGAAAACCTCAGCTTATTCAAACAAGCAGATAGTAAAAAGTGTGTAAATAATTAGATCTGTAAGAAGAACCAGCGACGGTCTCACTTGGAGTGATACATGCAAATCAGTATGATAGGATTACAGTATAGCGAAAAACAGACATGACTGAGAATTATCAGAGCTTGTCCGATACTAAATAGGAAATCACCAAACAAAAAGTTTTCAACCTCCAAATACCTTACCTACAGCAATCTGTCACTTTTAATTATCAATTAGCTAAGTTCAAACAAAAAAAAAGAGTGCTCGGACACATTATACTAGGAGTATCAATTCATCAGATGAAAGTTACTTAATTGTAGCGGATACTACCTCAACATGACCAGCAGAATCCTCTATCAACAGCGCTCCAGATATAGATCCTTGAACCCCTGATTTCTTTGCTATGAAAGTATTCACCAATGTGGTTATTTCATCACTTTCGAAATTATCTGATGCTTTCCATTCTCTTTTTCTCAATCTCCATGGTTTCTCCAGTGTGGTTGTGTTATCAGTCCCATAGTTTGCTGCTTTCTCTTCCAATTTCTTTTCTTTCACCTGGATTGTATCATCTGTTACGTATTGATCGTATAGTTTTCCTGCTTTCCATTCACTTTTTCCATATTGTTCTCCTTCTTCCCATTTGCTTTTTCCCCATCTTTTTGCCTCTGAAGGTTTCTTCGGCACGCTGAGTTCTCCAGCTTCATATTTTCTTTGTCTTCTTCTTCTTCTCATTTCTCTTGTTCCTTCACCATTACTCCCCCTCGTTACACTAGGTGCTGGAATGGCATTCCACTTCAATAGTATAGCCATTAACTTCGCATCAATTGAGCTCAATCGGTAATGTAGAGATGAGCTTATTTGCATCAAGAATGCAAGTACAAATACAACCACTAAACCCAAAAACAGCAGACTCATCAGGGAGAAATAGAATAACTGTAATCCAGGCATTCTTCGCATCCACGCTGAAAGCACAAATGCAACAAGAAGAACAATTTTGGCAACAGACACCGGCAACAGAAGCCTCCCGTTCCCATCAGCACATCCCAACATATCTATCATAATTTCAGCCGAGCCCACTAATGGCTTGTTCCTTCTCACCAGCTGCATTGCTGCAATGCAGAACATTTCTGTGGCCAGCAGCTTAAGACTAAACAGAGACACAATTTTTATATACAGAGAGATGAAATGCAGTTTTTCCTTCAGATTTGCAGGTGGAAACACAAACCACACTAAAGAATTAGCTAATGAAGCTGCAATAAGCCCGGAGATCAATTCCATCAAAATTTTCTGCAAATCTCCATGATTAAAGAAGCATACGCTTGCAACTGTAACGCAGGCAATCGAGACGAGTACAGTAATTTCTATGGCGAAGTTAGGGCCTACATATACAACCACGAAAGCGAGGAAGACGACGACCAGCAAGATAGCATGAACAGCCAGAACATACTGGAGAGCTGAGAAACAGGTTTTAGATGCCGCCGGTTGCTCGTGTCGATGGCGGATCGATGCCAGAAGCTTGGATATCGACTCCATCGCCCTTTTCAGCAGATCTCTGCGACTAGAGAAGTATGTGGAAGAAATTAAAATAATGATCATCGACAAGACAAGAGCATATGCTGCATCCCAGTATGGGTTTGAATAATCAACTCCGGTGGTGATAATCATGGCGGAAAGCACGAGAGCATAGACAACCAGAGTAATCAAGAGAGAGCCACCGGAAGAAGGTTCTATCAGCTGCTCATGTAGACTGAGCGACTGCGGCTCTTCACTTGTAGACGCCATCTTTTCAGAGGAAAGCATTGATTTGATCATGTTTGTTGCCACAGCAGCAGATCGAGGGGGACGGAGATTAGATTGAGAAGCGAAAATTCTTATTCAGGAGGAGATGAAAGGAATTCAACTGCGCATCTTGGGTAGAAATTAGGGTTTTGTCGTGGCTTCCCAATTTGGCAGCCATGGAAGCAATCTCGAAAATTAAGAGTAGAAGCAAGGTTTTGTTGCAGAAATTAGAGGAGAGAGGTTGTAATGTTGACTTACGATGTACAGGCAGTACAGCATCTTCAAATTGCAGAACAGGAGAAAGACTGCGTCTTGAATTCAAGACGAGGAAAGGCAAGTGTTTTTTTTTTTTTTTTTTTCTTTTTATTTTCTTTTAAAAAAAAGTTTAAATAGGATTTTTATATAATTATCTTACTTCTATTTTCTATTCTGTTTGTTCATTTAAATAATTAAAAAACAATAAGTTTGTGCATTTGTAAAATTTAATTGTTTAACGTAATACTCCTACAGTTCTTCCGCTAGAAAAGTATATATATTTCTATTTTGGAACGTCAACTTATAAAACAATTATTTTATTAAATATTTTATATTTTTTTACAAATATATTTATTTTACATCACATTATATTTTATACTTAAAAAAGTAAAAATTATCCATTATAATTGAAATACTATTATTTTCGTACAAGTGTATACTTAAAGTGTGTTTGTTTGGAAGATTGAATTTATCCGCTATTCATCCATTTTTTCCCCTAGATCAACACTTATTTATATCACATTATAAAACAATTCAAATTCAAAATTTTTACTATTCAAATCTCAACCAAAAATCCAAACCCCATACAAACACACCCTTGTTGTTTAGACGGAGAGAATATAAATTTTATTTAAAGGAGCCAGACAAAGCATGGGAGGTTAGAGAAAATAAAGAAAGAAAAAAAGAGAACAACACAACGTCCGTTGCTTCTGCCAAGCAAGGTAAGACCACATCCGAATGGAAAGTCCAAATTGTATACATTTGATCACCCATACTTCCTAATTTAGCAAAAATGTGGGCTACTTTATTTCTCTCCCGGTGAATGAGATAGAGCCGATAATCATTTTGATTCCGGAGGAGTTGACAAATACCACAAATAATCAAAGCAAGGGGATGAGTTTGACTAAGCTCCCGTTGGATCAATTTGATAGAAATTGCAGAATCAGAATAAGCAACTAGTGTTGCAATCCCCAACTCTTATACGAATCTCAGATCATACCACAAGACAAAAAGTTCAATATTAAGAATAGACATATTGAATATAAAAATAAATACTTAAAAAAAAATCGAATGATCCACAATGTTAGCTTGTTGATTTTCATATTTCAAATTCGGATGATCATTCATCTTGATTGTAAATATTTAACTAGATTGCATGCTCTTGGAAAATTTCGTTAGAATATCATCAAACTCCTCCTCTTGCTTACATCAATAATTCTCCTATAGATTAAAGTCAAACTTTAGTAAAAAAAAATATTGAATCATTAATTGCACGAGGATTTGATCTTGAGGTCATCTGATTTATCTCTTAATTACACCACTTTAATTATCTATTCACTACTTTCCATTACAAGCCACAAATCAAACAACAATCACCACTACAAGTCAGTCAAGAGTCTCTCTGTCTGTCTGTCTGTCTGCAAGATTGGGAATGTCACCAAATTCAGAGAATCAAAACAAAAACAGCAACGCTATTAGCTAGGTGAGACAACATTAAACCCGCATGAGATGAATCGATTGATTATACATGTTGAATATTGTCCCACATTGCTAAATGTGTGGGAACTCTCCTAATATATAAAGGTGAAGAGTCACTCCACCTATCACCAATTGATTTTAAGTTGGATGCCCGGATCCCTTCTTAACAATACACACACATCAGCAATGCATTATTACACACATCAGCAATGCATTATTATGTGTATAAGCAGACCACACCACACCACTCCGCTGCTCTTCTGCTTGAAAACTAAATAAGTAAACAGAGATAATTAATTATTAGTTAATGATACAAACTAACATACAATTAATATTAATCCAGCTAGCTCCAAAAAGAAAACTAAATATAGTACTTCTTATTCTCTAAAAAGACCACTTTTTGAATCTATTTTCTACGTACATTCATCATATCATATCATGATTTGTTATCTTATTATTATTACCCACAACACTATTATTATTACCCACGACACAGCTGCCGCAAACTAAGTAATATTATTATTATTATTATAAATAAGTATGTAATGTATATCCCACCGGCAAAGCAATAAATATCCTCCTTAAATCGGAATATGAATATGATGATCAAATAAAGCAACCCAAAGAAAAGAAATCCTCTTATGATGATGATCATCAGTAAGTAGTGAGCGAGTCTAACAAGTTACGGCGTTGTTATAAAGTATCATCATCAATAAGTAGTGAGTCCAAGTGTCTAACCAAACAAGTTGCAGCAGGATCAAAATGGACAATGTAGGCAAAATCAACACACACAAACAAGGATCAAAGTCTGGAAAATTAGCTTTATTTTCTACAAAATCAACACTCACAGGATCAAAACAAAATTAAATCCATACCAATCCAAGAGTTACATCTATTTCCAACAAAATTTTGGATGGTTCCCCAAAAGCTACCTATATGAGTAGAGGATACTCCAGAATCTCTAAATTTTGGATAACCTTAAATATTGAAAGCAAGCTTGTTAGTTTTGGACAGTCCGCATTTATAAGAGTAGTGAGATGGGGCATGCAAACAATATCATTTGGTTCTATCCAATCCTCCAACTTCATCAATTTACTGACTTCTAAGTGCTCAAGTGACACAAATTTAGTATCATTTATTCGATACAAAGAGACTTGAGGAACAACAGTTAACCCAGTGATGAAAGTTCTTACAGTAATCAAGTTTATTTAAATGAATTTGTAAACTTATGCCATACATCACTTAGCCAATCAGGGCATCTGATGTGGTTGACATTCTCAACCTAACTCTTTCAAGTTTTCATTAGGTCAAAGTTGCTCCAGCAGAACTACCTGTCACTTCAAAATTACACCTTTCATGTACAGATCGAATCCAACTTCAATGCTTTCCCAACACAACTGCAGTTTGTTTAAGTATTTTTTTGCATTCATAGCTTCAGCTTATGTTCCAACTTTATTAACATTTTAATGAAAAAGGCTCCTCGAAGAGAATTCATATTCTCAAGTTCTTCAACGCCATGGCCCTTCTCATGTTTACTCGCAATAAATGCCGATAGAATTTGAAAGTCCATTAACTTTCCGATTTCTTTAGTTAGAAACTGTAGTTTTCCTTCAACATTGAATATAAGATGTCTGAGGTTGGAAAGCTTATTAAGATCCTCCGTTAACTCACAAAAGTCCGGACATTTGCAAAAAACAATTGTATGCAATGCTATGTAGCGATTTATAAATTTTGACAATTCTGCAATTGAGGTATTGCTAAAGCTAAGATACTGGAAATATATCAAATTCACAAATGAAGGAGGTATGACTTGCATACGCACACCGCGCCAATACAAGACCCTAGAAAATTTCAATTTTCTGAAAATATCTAGATTAATGAGTTGTATAGTAGCATTTGATTGGTCTACCACCATGAATACCTACATCCGTGCATTCGCTATGGTTGACCTACAACACTTGTCCAATATGGGACAAACGGCAAACATGGCGACATATATTTCTAAATACCATGGTAGCAAAATCATGAATAAGACCGTGCATTGTTTATATAGTACGGTTCAAAGAGCTTGTATCTTGTACAAAGAAAGATCTCATATGTCAATCATTGAAATATTCTATGCCAATGTCTTTCTAATCTCCTATTGGGTTGAAATTTAACAAAACCTTCGGCCATCCATAAAAAAACTGATTCCTCAGCCTCAAACTTATGGTCAAGAGGAAAGATGGAGCAATAACCAAAACATTTTATGAGATGAGTAGGAATGTAGAGATAACCAAAACTAATTGCCTTCTTTAATGTTAGCTATCTCTACCTTCCTTATAGACTTGATATATCTTCGATATCTTAGCTTTAGCAATAACCCAACCGCAAAATTGCCAAAATCCATGTGTCACTACGTGGCATTGCAGACAATTGTTCTTTCAACTGTCCAAAAGTTTGTGAATTACCGGAAGACCTTAACAAGCTTTCCAACCTCAGGCATCTTATATTCGATATCGATGGAAAACTAGAATTCCAGCCTAAAAGAATCGGGAAGTTAACGGACCTTCAAACTCTATCGGCATTTATTGTGAGTGGAAATAAGAAGGAGCATTGCGTTGAGGAGGTTGAAAATATAAATCCTCTTCGATAAGCCATTTTCATTAAAATATCAATAAAGTTGGAACAAAAGCTGATACTATAAATGCAAAGATGGGTACAAAAAAAATACCTAAACAAGCTGTAGCTATGTTGGGAAAGCATTGAAGCTGGACTCGATCCGCACACGAAAAGTGTAATTCTGGAGCGACAGGTAGTTGTGTTGGAAGAATTTCGACCTTATGAAAACTTGAAAGAGTTGGAGATTGAAATTTACAGCGGCATCAGATACCCTAACTGGCTAAGTGATGCATGACACAAGTTCACCACAATTAACTGATTACTATAAGAAACTTCCATCACTGGGTCAACTGTTGTTCCTAAGTCTATTTGTATCAAAGAAATGCATGTTTTGTAGCATGTCAATCAGAGTTTTTATGGGGATGGAAATGATACAAACTTTGTGTTACTCGAGCATTTGGAAGTTAGGAGGATTGGATAGCACTAAATGAAATTGTTTCCATGCCCCGTCTCACTAGCTTGCCATCAATATTTGAGCTAATCCAAAATTCAGAGACTTTGAAGTGTAATCTACTGATACAGGTAACTTTTGGGAAACCATCCAGGATTTTATTGGAAATGAACGTAGCTTTTGGATTGGTATCAAATTAATTTTGCCTAAATTGTCGATTGGGATTTTGTGAATATTTATTTTGTAGAAAATTTGCAGGTCACTACAACCGTAGCGAATGCACGGTTGCAGACATTTACGGTGGTAGGCCAATCAAATGCTACTACCGTACAACTCATTGATCCAAATATTTTCCAAAAAATTAAATTTTTTTGGGTTCTGTATTGGCGCGGTATGGGTATGCATGTCATTTCACGATCTCTTCTTAAAATTGAAATTTGTGACGAAATTGGATCTAAGTCGCATAAGTGTTGATGAATTGCTGAGTTCTATTGAAAACTTAATTGCGTTGAGGTATCTTGACGTGTCCTATATATCCAACGGTCGCCTA